ACTCAAGGAGATACCAATGTATAACTAAAAATAGCTTAGGCTTTCCAAAAAAGTACTGCGTGAAGCAGTCATATCATCATCATCATCATGAGGGCCTTAGAATCCACCTTAGCCCAGGGCCCGAAATCTTTTAATCCGGCTCGGATTGCAATCTCGACATGCCTGCATGTGCTGCCACATTGGCGGAAGTAAGGGAGCAGCGTAAGCGCGGCGGAGCTCTACCCCACTCCCTACGGGAAAAGTGGCCGCGCGTGGCGCTGTTCGCTGGGAGATCGGTAGCGGCTCCTAGCGGACGCAGGGTGCCCCTGTCCGCCATTGCTTTCTCACATACTTTGAGCATTTATTGGACACGAGGCTTGCGTCAGCGTTCGGTGCAGACTCGGATCCAATCGCGCGCTTCGTGAGCGAGCAATGGTGACCGCCAATGTTGGTCTACGAACTTCTGAAAAGGGTCCATCGGGCACGCGCTCCGCTAGCCTTGTCTGCAGAGTTCCGGACCTCGTAGCAAGTTGCGGAAACGATCTACGAAAACTCCCTATCAAGAGTCACAGCGACGCGGAAACGCCACCGGCAAGAACGAGAACCCCAAAGAGCGAATCGGAGAGCGGGGAACTGTCGCTTTGGGAAAGCTCTCGCCAAGCGTGAAAAGCCAAATGCCACCCGCTTATTCAACCCGCGGCATCGGAACCCCCCAACCCCTGCGGGTTTATTTATTCATAACGCCCGTACACAGGCGCACGCGGGCATGCGAAAGTGGTCGTCGTTCACGAGGGCTTTTCAATGTTCAAGTGAATGTCTACAATTTGGCCAGCTCCACTACTCTCGCCTTATATACGAGGGGCGGCCATCCAGCCCTCACTCCCTCCGAACTGCGTGTCTTTTCTTTCTTTTAGTGATGGGGGCAAGGAGTTCTTTTTGTTGCTCTTACGGCGCGGGGTGGATACGAGACTCACCCCACCATTTCGGGGCAATAGTCAGCCTCCCCCCTCTCCTTTGCTCGTTCTTCCCCTCAACAGCACGCCGGCTCCCGCCGCAAAATGTGGCGCCCGTTCAGATTTTTCCAACGTATTTAAGCGCCGACAGAAGGTTCGCTCGACCGTGGAAGGAGGGGAGGGGGGGTCTGTAGTTTTCAATAGAATCCGCACACAGGCACCAGCGAAGGCGCTGCACTGTGTAGTCCGATCACGTGGCGAAAGAAACGATTGAGGTGACGTCACTGCGGGGAATCATCCACGACGCGCTCCGAGCAAGTTCTAAAAAGTCCGCGAGTTGTGAGATAAAGGCTCGTTCACACACTCGTTTTGAGTACGGCCGACTGAGAAAAGATCAGCATTTAAAGGCCCGTTGACACACTTGAAACCGAGTGGGACCGGTTGAGACGAGACCGGTTTCAAGCCTCTTGCGACGGCTTAGGACGAGATGCGCTGCTGCGGAGCTGGCTCTAAGCCGTCGCAATAGGCTTAAAAACTGGTTTCATCCCGGTTGGTCCTACTCGGTTGCAAGTGTGTGAACGGGCCCTAGACTCTTGTGAAGGCTTCGTAAGCCGCCCCAAGAGGGTAAAAAACCGGTTTCGTCCCAGTCGGTCGTGGTCAAATGCAAGTGTGTAAAACGGGCCTTGAAGGCGCGTTCACACCGGCGATTTGAAGCAGTCGCGATGCGACTAGATCGCATCGCAAAAGAATGAGATGGTCACACTGGCGTGCGCGATGAGCGCGTTACTCATGGCTGCTTTTCGAACTCTCTCTCTGCAAACGCCGCTGATTGACTCAGCCACTCCGCGACTAGATCGGATCGTAAAAAGTCGGGTCAACTAGCGACAGCTCGAATCACGTCGCTTTCTTTCCGCGATGGTCGCTTTTGCGATGAAAATTGTTGCGCGACTACGCCTGAGACGTTCCTCGACCGACAAAAGCTCGCGCCTTGGAGGCACCAATGCAACAACTACAGGGCTCTAAGTTGGGCACTGGGCGGTCAGAGTCGCACTGGGAGTGGCCAGGGCCGCACTACGACTGGCCAGTGCCAAGGACAATCGCGGCGGGCGGCGATCTCGCCTATTTTCTACAAGGTCTCGCGCAGCAGCCAATGACGGCTTCGCTGGCTACAAAACGAAGGATAGACACAAAAGCGCGTTAAATTCGCTCAGAAATGCTATAAAAGAAAAAAAAAGTGGTCGGTAGGGAAAGCGCTTAATTTTTATATAATACCCTCTAACAAACATATCAACTTACAAAAGAACCCAAGTATACACACTTCCGACGTGATAAACGTCACATAAAACTGACAACTAACCAGTGCATGTCAACTCGAGCGTAAACCGAAGCCTTTAGGTGCATAAAAAACCTTTCTTTCTCTTTTTTTTTTTTTTTTTTACATCCAACTGCAATTTAAAAAATAAATAAAAAATATCCGGTTTATATGTTTGGGTTTTCTTAAACACTTTTTCCCGCTGCCATCGTCGCTTCATTCCCGGTGTGTTTCCGCCAATTTTCACCTCTAGCCCCGCAGCTACAGAAACAAACCAGTCGCGCAGAAGTAAGAACATATATGCTCCACAGGCTTCACACACGCTTCAATGCGGAGCACTTCCGCCGCATAAGCGTTCCGTTTTCTCTGCCAAGGTTTCTCAAACACCGATTACAACCACCGAAAAACAAGCAGAAAAAAAACAAACAAAAAAAACAAGAGCAGAGTTCGGAAAGAAGAACGCCAAGAGGGGTATATACGGCTCACTGAGCAGCAAATCTTCCGCGACTGTTCATCCGAAACAAATCACCCCATTCCCAAACGAAACAAACGAATCAATAAATGAATAATAAAAAGAAACGAACCAGGAGGGCGTCACCGAACCAACGCCATTGGTCACACAAGTTTCACGTGAGTACAATGACGTCACGATCGCAGAAGCCAATCTACGCTCCGTTTCATCGTATGGTGGACTGCAGCGGACGCCACGAACCACACCAGCCAATCCGGTGCTGAGAACGTATCACGTGACTACACGTGCCTTGCGCATCGCTGCTTCCCTCCCGAATGTCATGTGACGCTAACGAAGCAATGGATTGGCTATAGGGTGACTCGTAGCGTCCGCCGCGGTCCATCATAATGTGAAACCGAGTATAAACACACGCGACCTAAAACGAAAATAAATAAATGAATAAAGAGTTTGCGTTCGCAAGCGCATCAAGAAGAAAAAACAGGTACCCCGCAAAGGCGGGTAGGAGGACAAATCTAATTTGGCCGGAGGCCCGCTGATTATTCGTCACTGTCGACTGCTCTCAACGGCGACAAAAGCCCAAAGGGCACGACAGATAACGCCGCGAACAACCCGAATAAAACCCGTCGGTCGGTCGGCGACACGTAAGAAGAAACGATTCCTCTTCTTCCCGTAGGGGCAAAAGGAAAAACGCGAGGTGTGGGGGAAGCATACCGGCGCACGATCATTACCGGCCCAGATTTGCTCGGGGTGCCCGAAGCGAGAAAGCGACCGCAAATCGAATGAACTCGCGCCTGGTCGACCGCAATGCACGTCCTGATTCGCTGGCCCCACAAGCGGGAGGTTCCGCGGGGCTCGCCCGCCTGCCTCGCGGTGCCTAAAGGCAGCGGCAAAGCCACGCTTACTACGCTTTTTCACGCTCTGGCAATCAGACAATATATTCTTCTGGCTAACGAGGAGTCGTTAAGCTGGTCGCGGCGCAACTTTTGATGTCGTCCTCTGCGCCATATAACTACTTTTCGAGGGACCGCGTTCCCCGAGAGTACAACGCGTTGTTGTTATTGTTGCGTTCGTCTGGATGCAGGTCAAACAGACACTGCCACGGTTGTAGAATTCACGATGGTATTCCCTGTGGCAACGTGATTATAAGCGGAGTGACTGTACTCGCTACGCCAATGCCACCCTAAAGGTTTATACATCCTGCATATGGTACGAGCATTATACACTTTGGAGGCTGTAAATGCTTGTTCCCAATTACTGATCTCCGTTTCAACGGCGCAGTCACTGGGAAGTCTTGTAGCATTCTAATGTACTCCGTTTCAGTATTACAATGCAAAAACTTTGGCTTTGGGGAACTGAAGGGCGCCACAGTCTGACCGCGCTCAACTTAACTAAAATAGAAAAATTGTTTCTTCTTTTTTTTTCATTTTTGTTTAAGGGGGGGGGGGGGGGGTGAAGCTGTGAAAAAATGTAAGGGACTACAACGAATCCGCTAAGTAAATATGTAAAAGAATTACTTTACAATTACTCTAGCAAACATGTAATTATGCCGTTAATAAATTACTGATGGATGTAAGGACTTACAAGTAATTCCGTTACTTGTAACGGATTACGTACAAGTCTGGTTGGCGATCGCAGCCGTGTAACCCCCCGACCGCTTCCGCTCAAAATAACGTCCTGGCCACAGATTCGCGGCTAAATTGAGCGCATGGTCGTCTCATGAACTGTTCCCGAAGTGCTCACTACCCCAGTGGACGACAATGTCGCGGCAGGGGACGTTCATCCGAAGTTGGTTGGTTTCGCAGCAGACCACTCTTAGCCAGCTTACAGACGACAGCCGGTTCCTTGGAGCAGTGGCGCCCACGCTCCCGTCACGTGGTGTCACGCGCCTCGCTCCGACTATCTTATTGGGTCGCGGGGACCGTATACTCTCCACAGGTCGCCGAAGACCTCTTCCACGAGGGCGCCGCCATCTTGAATGTCTTCACTTCCAGTATGGGCTAAAACATTGTTCTGCCGTTGCCACGTCAATGCGTCCAGGAAGTGAGGGAGAGGAGAGACGAGACAGCGCGGGGACGACAGAACTCCGAGTTCTGATTCGGGCCAACGGAACACGAGGAAACAAAAACTGAAGGTCGGTTATGGCGGCGCCCATGCACAGCTGCTCGAAAGCGTCTCTAAACCGCACCTCAGGATGGCAGTGCGCGGTTCGTGCCCTAACGGTGGAAAGCGAGCAGAGAGCGGGGGAGACGGGTTTCTAAAGTAAACCGGGTGGAATGAAACTCACCTTCTACACAGTGAAACGACGTGAATAAGGCCACAAGGCACGCTGTGCGACAGTAATCTCAAGCTAGAGTGACGCGTTGTCCTCCCGACAGACGCAGTTCGGTAAGCGATGTGCCGGACCGGAACAAAGCATATCTGAAAAAAAAAAAAAAAAAGAATTGACGCGAATATAAAAACGAAAACAATAAACACGGCAGCAACACTAGACACAACGAAAATAGACGTGCCGATGCTCTTTGACATCGTCTTGTTTCAGTATAGTAGTTTGATATTCCAAGAATAGAGACGTAACTTCCGTAAGAAAAAAAAAAAGCAACAATGCCAGCTTTTGAATTGAAGAGAGTGAAGCTTGGCGCATGCGCAGGAGCTGCTCGGATACGTTACCGCTGACCCTCACCATACATTATTTGCGAGAACAAATCTACGCAATATCTATAAGTGACTGTCGCTTTACAACTTTGTCAGAATTAGTTCGAGCCTTTGTTAAAAAAAAAAAATATATATATATATATATATGTCTTAACTATAAGCGTCAATTAGAGCTGCGCAAGCGCACTGTTCCCTACTTCGTGAACAATTGCTGTCACGGAAAGTCAGCGTCGTGCGCTCACATGGCGTCGAACTTGGCCCTCTCGGAGGCGGAGACCGAAGCCTGCGTCTTGGTCAGGGCTCCTTCCAGGTGCCGCTGGTAGATGGTTAGCGCCAGGGCCGTGCTGTCGCGCCTCGAGCGCCGACGCTGTTGCCGGCGGCCGCCGTGACCCAGCAGGTTCTCCGTCAGCGCCTCTACCTGTCGGATCCATTCGTTGTACATGGATTCGAATTTCTTGTATAAGTATCATACAATATACCTGATATGGAGACAAATTCCTTGTAGTTTCGTTGCTTGTATTAATGTTTGTTGTATGGAAACAAATTCGTTGTCTCATTTACTGTGTCAATATTCCTTACATATGAAGACAAATTTCTTGTAGAGCCTCATTCGTTTATCAATATTCGTTGTATGGAGACAAATTCGTTCTATCGGTATTTATTGAATGTAGTGAAATTCGTTCAATATTGGTTGTAACAAGTAAAATTCGTTGTCTATAGACCGTTCTACTAGGAAGAGCGGAGAGAGAAAAAAATGCCCTCCCCCTCTCACCCCACAAGTCGTCTGCTCTGCCGAGTTGGCTGTACCTAACATCCGGCCGGCGTTCAAACTCCGTTTAAAATCGCATCATTTTGGAAATTTCAAGCGCAAACGCGCGGATTTTAATATGCAAGTTATCGTGTAATGCTATGCTCGATAAAAAAAAAAAAACTAACCGGGTCTAATTGCGCTGTTACCTGCGTGTGAAAAAAAAAAAAAAAAAAAGAAATGAGAAGATTGTGTCACAGTGGCCGGTCCTCCGGCGAAAAGTAAATTCGGTTGCAGTAACGTTGTATATACGGAGTTCGTGCTGCTGTAGGCCTTTAGCGACAATGAGTGGAAGTTTGGAGTAATGAATAAAAAAGTGCTTTCCTGACGCAATAGACACAGTGGTTGAGGTATAGTACTGCCGGCTGACTCCACGGCTAATGAAGTAACGGAACAAAGATACGCTATAGTTGATCCTGATATAAAAGAACAGAGCGCTATAGACTGATTTTGGAATGGCTATAAATATTGTAAGAACGCGAACCACTTCACAACGGCAGCCACGAGCGAGAGTTGGATGTTTGGTACAGCCAGCCGGTACAGCCCAAAGATAGAGAAAGGCATCCTCCAGGATTGTCGTCTGTTAGCGAAATCGGGCGCGTGCCCTCTCTCGTTTTACCCCGCCGAACCTGCTAAACTTCTCGGATGTGTGGAGAGGGCGCTGCGGTCGAACAAAATGGCTCCGCCCTGAGAGAGCTAAATGAAATGGTCTATATTCGCTTATGGACTCAAAATCGTTCTATTCATATTCGATTTTTTTAGTCAAATTCGTTGTACGCAGACGAATTTATTACATAGACGGTGAGTGAGAAGTTAATCTGCCCCAAAGTGAAGTGATTTGTGTCTCCGACTTAGCGGGACAGTTTGGCCAGTGCAGTAACGGCTGCTATAATAACCTTTGAAAACTGCCCCACGCAGTAGCGATTAGTGAAACCACGCTGCCGTTCAATGAACGCCAATACGGAAGCCGGAAGGGACAAGATGTGAACTCATTTGATGGCTGAGTTTGCCGTGCGAATTTTCGCTCCAGGTATACTGTCAGCTGCGGCGCGTGAACGGATGAGTGGGACGCAGTGTCCACCGGGGAGAAAAATCGTGAAAGCACAAATACCCACGGTAAAATGAAACACACTAAGCGCATACTAATTTTACACTTTTATGAACACTTAGCAAGGTATACTTAAGTTTACTAGTATAACAAACATATCCTTGTAGTATGCATGCAGAAATTGCGAGACGGGGTCGACGCGCGGGCCAGACAGATAAAAAGAAGTTCTCTAAAAGTAAATTAGAGTATATTTAAGATATTGAAAGAACGCTAAACATTGCGCGTACTGTCTTGTTTAATAAAAGTTCAAAAGTAGTATAGTTTTTCGTGTTCCGTTTTATCAAGAGTACAATAATAGAGTAAATATCCTCCCAGGCCACGGACCTCGAGCACCAGTTGCCGATTCTGTTCCGGACCCAGGGTTGGGGACAGGTCCCCAGCTGCCGGGGCGCAGAAGAAGTCCGTGTCGGAGGCGCTGCCGGGCTCCTCCGAAGACGAAGAGCCGTCCAACCGACGGCCCTTACCGCTCCTTTCTGAAAGCCGACGCGACAACGAGAATTCGAGTGATCCAGCGAAATCGCCGTGTGAATGTGCGCGGATTGTAACCCCTTCGCGTGTAGTTTAGAGGTCGCCGCATACGTGTTGATACTCCAAAATGTAACTCATACATGCTGTTTGCAGACGTCATATCAGGTGAGAAACATGACGTCTCTATTTTCTTAAAACTCTTCAGTCGATGTTCAATGCACATATAGCACAAAAACTTGAATGAAGAATAATAAATAAAAAATGAACTGTTAAGGGTGGTCATCCGAAGTTGTCAAAACAAAACGCCGATTCTCCTTCGCCACGACGACGACGACCCCCCCCCCCCCCCCCCCCCCGTTCACACGGAGAAGACACTGCGCGCGACTGCGTTGGTGGCGCCATCTGTCGAACTCGTCTGGAAGCCGGTCATTGCTCGTCCACCGTCGGTACTTTTACGGCCTTTAACAGAAACAGCATCGCTGTGAAATCTCACTACCATGTTGCAACCACTAGTCACAGCTTGCCGCAGAGTTAATTTGAACTTTATTTACTCGTACGAAACTAGCGCCGGCGGGCAATATTTCTCATACACGTTTGTGCCCCACGCAAAGACATTATCGTTTAAAAAACATCTCTTTAACCGTTTAAAAAAAAATGCAAAATTGCTTAACTACCATGCAACCCATGCACTAAAAAAAGAAAAAAAACTTTTAACATAACACAAGGAGCGTCCTTCGCTTGGGAATGCAGTACAACACACCTATCATGCCTCCATCATGGCACTTGTCCCATAAAACATACGGCTAAAAAAAAGCTATACGAACCAACGTAACACACATGGGATTCCCTCAATGCACATTCGTATCCAAAAGAAACTGGACCATGCCATCGCGGTAGAAGGATGAATGGATGCACAGCCGACGTCAAACTGACGTCACTTCCTGCGCGCGGGCGCGCGTTTCGCGGGAGCGTTCTTTTCTAGCCGACCCAGAACAAGACGCGCGCGCCGAGGCGTCGAAGCGGCTCTCGCCCAATGATGGTCGGTCGAACTATCACGTGATCCTGCACAGTACGCTGTTTCGTATTCAGCACATTTCAGAGTGTTCAAAAGCATTTTTATTTTCCATGTAAAATTGAAAAGGTGTTTCTTTTGACACACAAACCCGTTTTATTTACTTGTTTGTTCATCTAATTCTCATTTTGTAGTATTTGCGTCAACATTTACATCGCGTGTTGAGAATTCTGTTATCTGGCAACGCTGATAACGCGCGGCCAGCGGTGCTTGGCTTTGTCTGCATGCGGTGCCCCCGCGTCAGCTTCCGCGCGAACGTTCCTAGCCAACCGGCAACGGGCAGGCGGCGCCAGCAGCGTGAGAGCGCACGGTTATACCCTGTCTCGTTGTAACTTGGAAAAGGATGAACGATAAGCCCCACATTGCGTGCCGAATGCTTTGTAATGCGCGACGTATACGAGCGCAACGCACATATATTGGAGCATGACGCAGCGAAAAGCCTGATACTTCTCCGGAGTTGAGGCGCGCTCCGATGATACGCAGTCACGTTCCAATTGGCCCGCCAGGGCCGTAGCTTCCGCTCTACTGGTACCTTACGCGATCACGGCTTCCTGGGATACCCAGTATTTCTTGATTCAGACACTAGGCTCAGCGGCGCCACCAGAGTAATAGCTCCCGTTTGAACAATGAAGCCGCCACTCCCAGGGGTATCCAATATTTCTTGCTTCAGTCGCTGGATGGCGCCAAACCAAACAGCATTGCAGGTTGCCTATAGCGCGTCGCGTTTTCACGTGTAGAAAAACGCGCCATGCGGTCGAAACCAACGCCGCGTAGCGGCAACGCCGAAAAGCTCAGGAGAAGAGGTCGTTTCGACTCTGTCGTCTGCTATCGCTGCTTGGTTTCCGTAGGCAGCATAGAAACAAACATCGTTTCCAGTAAGTATTTTTACGCTTCCGCCGTGTCATTCCTACGCACTGACAAGATGGAGGTTTCTAGCGTCGAAAAATCACTTTGCTTTCATATGTAACACCGATTTTACGCTGCGATGAAAGAAATGTATGGTGGTCCGCGTGCTGAACGAGGAAAACGATTTCCTTTCGTCCGCCATTTTGTCTCAACAGACATCTTCTGAAGAACGCCGCCTCTTGAGGCGATCCAGGCGCCGCTACCGTCGACGCGCGAGTGCAGAAGAGCAAAATAATAATAATTATAAGAAGGAGGAGAATGTTTATTTCTCCATCAAACATATATGAGAGTTTTCGTAGACCGCGTTTCCCCTTCCGCTAAGCCCTCCGCAACGAAGCAGCCGCTACTGCGCCTGCGCGCCGATGGCCTTGACTGTAGAGTCCGGTTATCGTAGAGGGATAAGGCCCGTTCACACTCTTGCCACCGAGTACGAACGAGAGAGACCAGACCGGTTTTTAATCTTCTTGCGACGTCTTAGGACCGGATGCGCTGCAGCGTCGCAAGAGGCTTAAAAACCGGTCTGGTCTCTCTCGGTCGGTTGCAAGAGTGTGAACGAGCCTTTACAGAGAGAGCTGCGGGACGCCGAAAACAATCTACGAAAACTCTCTTTAAAGATAAAAGGGTCGGCAAGGGGAAGTGCGAGGAGGGAGGAATGCCGATGCTGTCAGGGCTCAGTGGACGCTAGAAGTCCATGTCGCCAATTGAATAACGCCAAACCGTAACGTCACGGCTTTCGTAGTCTTTCTTTGAGCACATTCTTTGCGGCTCGTCCAATTGAACGCAGAACGTACAACGTGACAACGGGCTTTTCGTCGGTGTGTACAAGTCTTGCAGCCTTTGACTGTAGCAGGCGGCGCTACGTTAATGCGCGAGTACGAAAGTGCGAAACACAATTAACGATTAAAGAAGTGTGCGCGCCAGAGAAGAAGGGAGACGATGTCGCTACCTTTCTCATGCAGGGGCCCTAAGAAACGGTCACCTGGCTTGAAGTTGTTGGTACCACCTGGCGACGTTCGAAAACCTGCCCGAGGCATCTCTCACTTTTGCGCAGGCACCGTTTCACAAACAGCCAGCCAGGTGAGAAACCTCAAGTTGCGTTTGAGTGCCACCGAGTGCTTCGCAACCCTTTATATTCCCGCTTACAAGAACAAAAAAAATGCTGGCGTTAGTTAACGGCTAACCCTGGAACTGCATATATTTCCTCTTTATTTGCGCGCCATTCTTTCGCCGTGGACTTGAAAATGATTCCGGCAATGTGACAAGACAGTGCGTACATTCGATCTCGCAAATACTGCAAAACCTCGAAGTCTATTCGCCACTCCAGCGACCTGTAGGGGGCGCCACCACCAAACAAACATGGCGGCTGAGTCCAGGTCGCGTTGGCTCGGCCGGGCCGCCTGAACAGGTGGCGCGTTCAATTTAACATATTTTATTTTGTTTAATGCCAAATTTTATTGGTATTTGAACTGATACGGTTAAGTGTAGCCGGTGCACATAAACTTGCAAAACATAGTTTTGTTTTCCCGGTGTTTTTTGTTTTGTTTTTTCATATCAAACTTTCGTTTCAGAGATTTCGTTCAAAACCAAAACTATGGGCTCCGGAGAGACGGTAATATACTAATCAGTTTTGACCATCTAAGGAAGGCGGCGATGACTACAGAGTTGTTCCACAGAGAGTAATTTGCAGCTAACTCGCATGCCTCGACCATGCGACTTATCTGTCCGCGAAAACGAGCTTTTGTGCGTATCCGCGTTTAAGAAACAGCTCCAGTCGTCTGCTCGGTCAACAACACAGTCTGCAGTAAAATCACGAAAATTAAGTAAGCGCTTCTTGAGCCAAGGACCATGTTAACCCGCCGGCGCCCCACTAAGTAGCGTATTTCAATTCAGGTTTTAGTAGCAATCGAGAAGTCACTTTGACGAGCGGGTTATGTATTATATTCTGTACTATGTCCCACTAAAGCGATATTGGTATATTCTTCGGGTTGAAATATGAGCTTAGTTCACTAGCTATTCGGCGAACTTCTGAACAAGAGTATATTTGACAGAGAGAGACATGTCCTAGCTGGCAGCCCGGAGACAAACTGAACAGAGTCTTCATTAGAGATTCACGCAGAACCTCTCTGCATTGAACTTTGCTTCGAATCCTGAACGGAGAGAATGAGTATTTTTTGTGGCCGGTCACCCTGAGGAATGTAGACGTATATTGCTGCTGGCTTCGACGGGGGTATAATATAAATATTGGAGGCGCGATAGATCGAAATGCCGTGACAGCTTCTAACGTTGCGGGACTCGTTCCCTACTTTTTGAAAACCGATAATTTCCCTCATTCATCATTTGCAGAGAGCAGGTTTTCCTGAATCAAGTAATTGCGATATCAGCCAAACTCTTTCAGTGTGGTCCAGAGGCTTTTTTGGCGAAAAACAGCCAAGATTAATAGCCAACGCACCGACCGGCGTGTGTGGCTCAAACTTGAAGCTAACCGAATACAACCAAACTCAAGAAAAGCAGCTATCGAACCTTCCCATTCACTTGACTGCAACATTGGTGTTCCCTCCAGTGAAATGCCTCGTCTGTCGTCCTGAGTCCACTGTTCTACATCCTTATAAAGAAACCACTTATCAGTTAATCAGTAGTCGTCACTTTGAATCTGATTCGAGACAGACAAGAAATCGAAACGTTTTTCCGTGATTCCTCCCCATCCAAGAAGTCGAAAGCACGCGACCGTGTGTTATGAAGTAAACGGGCTTTCAAACACGTAATAGAAGACAATCTACTGAGGCTTCACCACACTAATGATCGCTCGGGCAAACTTAAGAAATTTTCGGACCTTCGTCAATTTACATTGTTCGCCACCGCGCCGACAACACGTGTCCGCGAAAGCCACCGGAGACGCGGAGGGGCGCGGAGTGACCTGGACCGGCTGGTTCCCGGTTTTCCCGCTTGGTGGCGTCCGTTTTGCTGGAGTCGCGAATAGACCTTTCCAGCGGCAGTCTCGAACGAAGCGAGCGGGCAAAAAATGCTGAGTCACTGAGCTGTGGACGCCTGCGCAGCGTCCGATATAGCGCGCAGCAGATAAACAGCGCATACTCAGAAGGCGTTCCACAGCCCAGCAGACAAAGATGGCAGCGCGCAGGAGGCGATTTCTGCAAAGGCCTATAGTTATACGCAAATCGGGAGAGTTCCAGGGCTACACCATAGGTGGCGCCAATACGCCGTCTGTTCTCTCAGAGAACCTTGACTGGAGAGAGGGCCCATCTCAAAACATGGAAAGCGTTTGCAATTTAACGGCGGACGCCTTCCATGCGGAGATTGGTCACAGGTGCGCATGCGCGGCGTTTTCGCGTGGCGAGGAGGAAAGCGGGCGGAAAGGCAGAAACGTTATACAGGCGATCAACGCTTTCGGCTCCTCCACTCAGCTCGTATTGCAAACGCGGCCCACAAACCACGTGACCACGATCGATCAGTTTGAAACACTCCCTAATATAGGCTCCCTACATTCTTTCGTCGTAAGCGGTTACGAGCGAGCGCAACACTCCGTATAGCAACTGTGCGAACTTGAACGACGAAGTGCCTTAAGTCTTCTAGTTCGTTTTGGACCACGACTGTAGACACCTATACGTCAGGGAACTTGACCGCCATTCGGCCTCACCTTTCTCCGGAAAGACCTCGTGGACGACCTCGAGCTGGGACGTGTACAGCAGGGCCTGCAGGTCGGCGCCCGAGAAGTGGTCCGTCCTCCGGGCCACCGACGCCAGGTCCACGTCGTCGGCAAGGAGCAACTTGCGGCTCAGCGCTTGCAGGATGCACAGACGTTCCTCCTGGTTCGCCAGAGTGCAACAGTCGTGGCTATTCGGCATGCAAGTTCGTACGCTCCTTACGGATCTCGTGCGTTCGTTTACCCCCCCAAGGTGCCCACGTGCTCTTGTTTCCTTCTGACCTCGACCAACGACGGCTAAATCCAGCAGGCAGAGTAAATGCGCCATAGTCCTGCAAATTTTTTTTTTTTTTTGTGCGTGGATGGTTTAGTTGGTGGTGGCAACGACGATTAGCACCATGAAGATTCACTTTAGGTGCTGCTTTGGCGAAAAACCGGGTTCCCTTTTCTCTCACGCACCAAGTCCCTCAATGCTTCTTTTTACAAGGAACGACAACTAAACGTATGACGAAGCACAATCCGTAGGAACAAAATGACGTCGTTTAGTTTACTCTTCTGCTGTGCGCTGCCATTCGCTTCTTAAAAGCTGTACCGTCACGCAGTCGGCGCTTCAGAGAATGTCGCTACCTGTAGGAACCTCCTATCTAGGAACTTAAGGACCGAGTAGTATACGGACAAAGCGGGTTTAGCTTACCGCAGTGTCTACAAGCCACATGGGAAAGACGCTTAACAAAAACTTTGTCTAAATCTCGCAAAAAAAAAACTCGTTTTGACTGGTGTGATTCGGAGCAAAGGCCGGCAACAGGATTGTAAATAGAATAAATCAAATCACATACATAAATTCGCGGGTCAGATCGAATACTAGGTTGCTCGAATTTCGAATCAATTAGCTCGAAAGCTTCCAGTTGTCAACCGTGCCAACCGTACCTACACTCTCAGAAAAAAAAAAGGGTGTATCTTACACCTTTTGTCTCATTTAAGACACCCCAAAACTTTAGTTCGACTTACAGCGCACTGACATCAAACTGACGGTTCCAACTTTCACGAGAGGCTTGATAGCCGTGTGGTACGAATTATTAAAATAACTAATTTACGTGTTACTGACAACAAAAAATAAATAATAATAATAATCGGGGTTTTCTTAGTCCTACTACAAAACGTCAGTGTTTTCTTTCTGTGGACTTTGATACGTACTTTAGCTATTTGATAAGTTATATGCACCGTTATCAAGCCCCTCGTAAACTTCGGGGCCGAGTTTGAAAGCGCAGCGGAAATAATTGTCACTACCTGTAAGAAATGTGAAGCCGCTGCGGATGGCAACAACGTACTAAAAAAAAAACAACCTAAGTTTCAGTTTCTAATACGTAATTTCAGATAATTCATGTTCAGAATCACAAATGCACGCACCCCGCGTTATGATAGACCGGAAAGTGCTCATTTAATTCTATAATGTAAGTGAAAATATTTCGTGTTCGCTAATACCATTTAGAAGTAAAATACAAAAATGCGCCGATGTCGTGTTCGCGCTAACAGTGTTGCGATGTGTATGCGCACACAAATACGCACACATACAAACACACACCCACACACACACGCACATAAATACGCAAACACACACGGACACATGCATGTATGCACATACAGCCACACCCACAGATACAAACAACAATGAAGCGCAAATGCTCGGCAATCGCATGTAGTTATAGCCGTTCCAGGACATTCAGGGACAGTGTTCCTTGGAGCTTCATTTAGATTTACTCGTACCTACGACAAGTGAAAACTGTGACGAAACGGGTGATGGTCACTCGATATTATAAGGTATATATATATATATATATACCTTCGATCGTTAAAAAAAAGGTGGATTAAAAAAAAAAATACGAAAGGGAAGTGTGCGCATGAAATGCAAACGTGTTCGAGCTCGATAAGGGTATTATGGTCGCCCCCAACGTATTCTTTTTCTTCCCCCCGAATTCACTTTAAACAACAATCAAAAAAAGAGCCGACATTCGCACACGGATACGGATAAAAGCGTAGAAATAAAACGATCAATTCCACGCTGAATACACTCTCGCGAAGAGAGAAAAGAAAGCAGTGGTTCGATTCTACCGTAAACAAGGACTTGCGGTGCGTGGATATCGCGAAGGAGACGGAGAACACAAAGCAGCGCAAGAAAGTGCGGTGCAAGGCTTTATTTTTTTTTATGTTTGGGCAGGTAACAAAAGAAGCAGGGGAGAGGAAACAGAGACAACCCCAGCTTTCTCTCCCTAGCCTTCCAGACGTCTGTCAAAATAAAATGCCAGAAAAGCGGAGAAAAAACCGCTTGGAGATAAACCGCGCAACGCGCGGTAAAAGCGAACACAAAAGTACGCTACCAAACACACGCCGATACAATGCCCCCAAATGAAATGACAAAGATAACCACCTTCGGCGCGGCACGGCTGCAGAGCCAAAGGCGCTCGAATAAATGATCTCCGAAAAGGTAAAAAGAAAAGGAAAGAGCAGGATTTCAATTCTGAGGTTTTATAGTTTTTTATTATTATATTCTTTCCGCAACGACTTTTATTTGGTGCAGTTTTGTATACTTTTTTTTCCCTTCGATTTTCGTGCGCATGTACATGTTGGCACGTGCCACGAGCCGTACGTGTGCGAATGTGCGAAGGCCCTCGTCACGCAGCGGCGAAAGCTCGAACCAAAGTTGGCGTCCGGAAGGAGAGTCATTGCGCTACCTTCCTCCTCGACTCCCAGAGGGCCCCGGAGAAGGCAGAAGACGTCGCGCGACTCGCCTTGCGGAAGCCGACCGTAGTTCGAGCTTTGGTTGCTTGGTGTTGTCTTTATGTGATAAAACTGTATTTGCTTGTGTTTGAAATTGATCGCACGTGTAGCCTCTAACGAAATAGGCGACACGCGCAAAACGCGTACGAAGGCTTGGCGATCGCGTCCGTCATATTGTCAGACTGCACCTGCAGCGCACGCGCTTCCATCTGTACACTTGGAACGTGCGCACGCTTGCTTGCGCGCCTGCCAGTCTGGTGCGCGCGTGCACGTTCAAGTAGTGCACGCGCAACCATTTGTACATAGAGAAGTGCGTCTGCCCACAGAAGCTGTGGACTCCGTGTATTATTTATTTGAAAATACTGCATGCCCGACCCAAGAGGGACACAAGGTACAAGAAAATTGCACGCATCATTTTTGGCACTTCAAGGCCAAAGTACGCGCATCATCAGTGGCACTTCAGGGTCAAGGTATGCGCAGAAACACCCAGGGGTGACGTCAGAAACGTCAACGATCACGTCGAAACGCCGCGGCCGTGCGCTACCAACAGCACTTGCAATAATCAAAGCCCATGCCCTATAGCCTTTTGACGTCTACACAGGTCGACCGATCCAGCGAAGCAACCGATTGGACACGAGCGCTGCGTCAGTGCTCGGCTGCTCCTCGTGTCAAATCAATACGTCGAAGGTCCCTCGGCGTCGAGGTCGGGCCCAATAAACTCTTTGCAAAAATCCCAAAAGCCCGCGGGCGCCGCGCGACGAATTATGGGAGTCCCCAATACGCCACTCCCATCGTCTTTCCTCCGCTACCACGTGACATACGCGAGCAGGAGCTTGTTACCGAGGCAACAACGCTCGAGCAACCGAGTCGGACGAGAGCACGGAAATGGGGGAGAATGTATCGCGTTGGGCTAGCTTGCGAGGCTGCCCTTTTCTCATCCCTCTCCTTTGCACCGGCTCCGTCGTCTACTACACCGACGGTTTGTCGAACTATAATAGAACCCTGCCACGGTTGCGGTGCAAAATAAGTGGATCCAGAGACACCGCGGGACGTGAAAGAAAGTGACGACGTATTGCGTATTCAAATAAGTGAATAGCACAACGCAGACAAGAGTCGACCCGCATCGGTATCCAAGCGTGCGAAGGCACAGAGGCGCAGGACTTCGGCGTGCCAAGGAAGCTTTGATCACGCCGCGAGACCGGCGAAACTTGACTTCGACAAGTGGTGCCTTATTCCTGCGGCACTGCGCTTTTGTAAAACATTCCACGTGTTCTCAAAGGCAAGTCTCACCGCTTACAGAAGTTTAGGAAAACTTCTTCGGCGAATGACGACGAACGAGTAGAAAACGTGTCTTCAACACGCTGCCGCCAGCCTCTGCAACGCTAGCAAAAACGCGACTTCGCCGCAGGCAAGATGGCCGCCCGGTGGCCGCACTCGCGGAGCGGGTAAGCGCGATCCGCGAAGGCTGCTGCTGGCAGTAGCTGCCTTGACTTACACGCAGTCACGGAGACGCAACGAGAAAGCACGTGATCTGTACCGAGGGTTCCCAAAATCCCCTGCTGTCGTGGCGCTGTACGTATTGCAACAGGTCTATTGCTCGAGTTGTCGCCTCCTATCGTGCCACGACGTTACGTGCCGGCAGGGTAGGCTGTTCGCGGGTTTTGTTTCTTCCATATTCGTGGACAACCTTCTGTGCAATTCCGACGAGAAGAAGAACGCGGGTGCACAGCTGCAATCGGCGCTCAAGCACGCGCTTCCGTACCTCTGACTGCAAAGTCACAGAAACTTGTTCAGGACAGGAGGTGGAGCTAACGCTTAACTAAATGAAAAACCGCATCTTACACCTGTTACAAGTGCTACCGTTGCGATAACTTTCAGTACCTTTGATCGTCAAGGTCGCTGTCGTGGGCTCGGAGTCACGACCACGCGGGCAAAACGAACAAACATGAACGAAAGCGACAACAAGTGTCAAGGCCCGATCGATGTATCCCGCGTAGGCAGACGCACTGTGTGCAATAAATGCGTGCACGAACGAGAAATATAAAATAAATGCCGCGCTCTCCTTCTTGTCAATTTCTTTGCATTCCCAAGAAACCCCGTTTTCCAAACGCCGTAGCGTGCACAGTAAGACGCGCAGCACAATACGAAAGCCCGGATGCGCGGGCACACCCTCGCTGAAACCGACAGCAGTGGCAGGTATTGGAGAGATTAAAAATAACATAACAGTGCGGCGGGAGAAGTGGGGGGGGGACGGGGACGTCGAGCTCCTGATAGAATTCCATCCCCGAGCCTCTACCCCCCCGCGTTCTTGAAGCGGGTGCCCACCATCACCACAATCACCCGTCCAGCAGCGCGTCTTCAATTCTTATTTATATAGCCCCGTATAATATTTTTTTCTCTCTCTCTCTAAGATATATACATCAAGAAAGGAGTTCCAGGTTTCCTTTGCACGTGTCGTGCATAGTTTATGTATTCGAACTGCGTGCTCTACTTTATCTTTTTACATTTCTCAACGTGAAACGGATTTTCCGTGAGCCCCCCTTATTCTGCGACTAAACGCGAAACGAAGGAAGAAAGAAAGATAAAGAGGTAAGGGGGGAGAAAAAGAAACGGGAAGAAGGGATTTCCCCCAAAATCTGAGTGCCGCAGTTTGGCAGAATAAATAGTTCGAATGGCGAAATGTCGGCTCTCGAAGAAGAGAGATTAGGAAACCCTCCATCCTTTCCATTTTATTTTCACCTCACCAAAAGGTATATACGAACGAGGAGGCTCTGTCTATTAAAGCGTACGCGGTCGCGTATGCAGAGCGCTTTTTTGTGTGCCTGTGTAAAATAAAGAAGAAAAAAAATGCCTAACAAAAGACGGTGGTCCGTCTTTCCGACCGACAGCGGTGCCCGCGTCCAATTCGCGGGCTTTTCGGGGACTGTGTATGCAAAGCTGCTTTCGCCTTCGACGTCGCTCTCTGAGGAGAAGCTTAGAAGTCGCTCATAATAACCCCTACCCTATGCCTGGCAAGTGAATGCTCGAGAATAAGCCGCCCGCGGTAGCACCGGAAAGCCAGTGTGTTCTTTTATTACGATCAGACGTTGCTAATACTGTTATTGCTGCGACGCGGTTCTCTCGTTGTTGATGCTGTTGTTGTCAAAGTTTGACTTCCGTTCCAAGTTTTGGGCACGCCGCGGTTGTTATGTATTTTGGTGTCACGCTCTCAAGATATTTTTTTTTTTTTCTTTTTACGGCGAAGGATTTTTAGGGCGTTTTAATAGATCGTTTTTGGGCTCCGATAACGGTACCTGACAACGATACAATGCACCTGCCAAGCTGCCGGCGGAGTTACCCTTATCGGAGTTACCGGAATTACTACTGTCTACTCGCGGATCCCGGGGTGTGCTTCGAGAAAAGCGTGATACGACGTCACTGTTACGTGATCACGGCATGTGAAGTAGCAATGTCATGTGACGCCATGATGTCACGCGACACCGTAACGTCATATGACGTGACGGGTTATAGTGTGCAGTGTGATTGTGTGCTGTCTCGCGGGCACTCTGGTGGCACAAGGCCTTGGACCAGGAACTCTAATCTGGACTATAGGTGCCTACATGTTTCCGCCGCTCATGTAGGCACCCTAATCAGGACACTTGGCGAAAAAGTCGGCGAGGAATTCGGCGGCCGTGATTGGCCGGCGCCAATTAGGTCAAGCGCGGCACTGGCCAATCACAGTCGCCAAATTCTTCGCCGACTTGTTTTCGACAAGGGTCCAGATTAGAGCCCCGTGATTGTCCGCATGTCACATCTTCAGTGGCCACCTCCACCGCGAGGCGGTGAAGTGTAATCGGCCACACTAGAGTAACTAATCGAAGCTTCGCGATCGACTAAAGGATGACAGTCAACTAAATGACTACCCACAACGAGGGAAAAAAAGATTACCACTACAAAGGAGGTTAAAAAATTTGAGGGAAAAGTATAGGGAAGAGTTAAGGTACAGATACAACTGACCAGTTAACGGGAGAAACAATTCATCGTCACGAAAGGCTCAATCGCTAACTAAAAGTATGATAATTAACTAAAATCTGTTGATTAACTTTTCAACTGGTGAAATTAAACACATGGTTCCAATAAGAAGCATGCTGAGCATCATCGAAAATCACTAAATCAGTAAGGTTTAGTAAGACTTTTAGAGTGCGTGAGGAGCACAGCAGTCCCTAATGTGACCACTTGTGCAAATCAGGTGCAAGTGGTGCAGAAAAAACAAAACGGATGATCCCCACCGTGCGCTCCTATATCCTAAAATTTACAGAAACAGTGGTTTTCGATGATGCTATGAAAGCTCATAATTAAAACCATATGTTTATTTTTACTAATTAAAGATATAATTAACAGATTTCATTTATCAGACTTATCGTGACAAAAAAGTATATTAAACAGCTCTGCCCGCAGGATTCGCGAGCCGTCAGTAACTAATCAGCAAGACGAAAAAAAAACAAAAAACGGACACAACATAGCGTGATTTGGCGAGTTTCATGAAAACAAAGGCCGCGTGCAGTGCGCTGTAGTTCGTACACCGAACAAAGGAGAACAAAAGATAAAAGTATATCTTGACCTCTCCGCTCTTTTGTAGTGCTCAATATATCGAAGTTTTCTTTTTTATTTTTTTTCCCTTCTTTTTTGCGACGTGTTCACAAAAAAAAACAAATCACGCGTCCGCCACCTTTTTGTGCTCCACAACAGCTCCAAAATTAAAAGGCAACAATGATTAGGGTGAAAATAGTCACCCTAACCATTGTTGTCTTTCCAGAGTCACAAACCCTGCCTGCCTGCCCCCCCCCCCATATTTTTGGTTTTTGTTGTTGATGTAAACGACTAGAAATTATCCCTAGGCATCACCCTCAAAATCTGAAGTCCGAGAACTCTTCAAAGAAAAATATAACTTCAAAAAGCCAGATCTGAAGCTCCCACGTGTTAACTCCGTAGACGTTTTGGGTAAAATAACTGGCTTTATTGTTAATATAACGGCATGTTGCACGTCCGACCACCTTCGCCGCTGCCCGAGCGAGCGCGTTCCTTTCTTCCGCTGGGTTTTCGCTGCGAGTGAGCTTCCGCTGATACCGGCACAAGTACCGCCATCTCATGTCGAAGTGGCGAACCGCGGGTTACACACGTGACTCAATGACACAGATGGCGAAATGGTGCGCTCCTTCTTTCCTGGGGCACTTCGAACCGGGAACAAGCCCTTTACTAGGAGAATACATTCTACTCAGCTCAATAGACCACATGTGCATCTCGCCGTCCACGCTATCGCGCTTTCGTGCTGGGCCAAGGGAGAGGGCTACCGCCGAGTCGCCGACGCACCGAGACACCAAGTGTCATTTAACTTTTAGCGAGTTCGTTTCACGGCACTCGTGCCCACGTGGGCCCACTCGCAGCGTGGAGCAGGTTCCAGCCGGCACTCCACGAGTGGTTGCACTTTCCGAGTTCGTTTCAGCGCTGGCACCCCACGCGTGCATGCACTCGCTGCACCGAGAAAAAAAATGCAATCCCGTCATGCCTCGCTCCGGCGAGGAGCGAGAGCAGACGACGAGGGTTCGTCTGCTACTGTGTGTCGCGGAACCGAAAGGAAAAAAAAAGTAGATTTTCTGATAGAAATTGCGTCCCGCGAGCAACGGAATCAAACGTGAGCTTGAATTGTGAGCGTCTCCTATTTCATGAAGGAAGCAATCGACAAACCATGCTTTATTTGTGGGTTTTAAGTCGCTCTACTGCCGTACAGCTACGCTGAAATATACCAGTGTGTAAAGAAATGCTCAGAACAAACGCATCAGCGGCCCCCGAGGTGTTTATCACCATCCGTGTGCGGGTGAAAAATTGAACATTTGTCGACAAAACTCCCCCAGCAGAAACAGCTGTGACTGCCCGATAAACACCAGTGAAAGCTAAACACAACGACTTTACCCGAGGCTTTGGCAACATCATTATGTTTGACATTTATCTACGTCAGCTAACATGCCCCGTCGTATTTTGTTCGAGAAAGCTTTCGGTCTCGACGCCCTCACCAAGGCTAATATCTGATCCGCCTGTAATGACGATCGAAATCAAAAGTCCCACGAAGTTTTGCTGGATATTCCAACAGACTGATTTTAAGTCGTACCCCTTCCAGGAGCGGATTTAGAGGGGGGGTCCGGATGTCCTGACCCCCCTCTTGATTTCTGCATGTGTAAAATTTCGGGCGTAAAACGAAGGAGAGGGGGAGGGGTTCCTAAGCAAATGGTACGCTGACCAACACCTGACCCCTCCCTCAGGAAATTCCTGTATCCGCCCCTGCCTTCAGTGGTTCACGCATAATACCATGCTCAAACGGATCCAGCTTCTGCTCGGACAGCATCATCAGCTTTCTTCAGTGTAAGCGGTTATAAAGAGATCGCAACCAGCTGCTTTGGACACAGCTGGATGCGGAACTTTACGCCGTCTGTAACTATCTGTACGACAGCCGAGCTGCTTGAAGTCATCGCAAATATAAACTACAGATTGCAGCGACCAACGTTTGTAGATAAACGTTAGTAGCGACTGCAATCTTGCATTCCCGCCCATCACTCCAGAGTCCAAACCAGACGGCGCTAGTTTCGGTTTGAGATTAGTACCTTTTCTAGAACATAGATGGCGGCAGCATCAGTCTTATGCACTCGGTGCATTTGGCGTGTTCGCTTGAGTCCAGTTCTCCGTGCAACACTCTGCGAGTGCGACGTATTCTGGGAGAGAACTCGAACGGTGCCAGCGCGTCTGAAACGAACTCGCTATTTCTCTCTTTCCTTCTCATTGACTGAAAAAAAAAAAAAGTAAAGAAGCATCAGTTTTTGCCTACTTGTTGCAACTCTGCAGTGAAAAATATTTGTGAGTAGTGCTTCATACAAAAATATCTATATAACTTTTTTTTTTTTTTGCAAGGGTGGGGGGGATTGGCACAAACCCTGTTACGCTTGCAATAAAGTTGTAAAGATGGCATGATATTAGCCGGTAGTGAACTATGGTCACTATGGTCGGCTATTCTGTTGGCTTGGCTATCATTGACAGACACATTTGTATGAAGGGATGCTGGACTTGGATAGCTGCCTCGGTGACGCCAGGGCAAACTGCCTGCCTACGAATCTCCACGTGGCACGTTCAAATCCTGGCAGAGGTGCCCGCAACCTGACAGAGGCTTATTGCGTAGAAGACGCACAACCGTGATGAATCCTCGGCCCTCCGCTGGGGTGTGGAAATGCCCAATACCCCCAAATCTGACTTTGAACTTTGGATGTTTGCAGTCCAAAGGATTACCGGGCTAGGCAGGGGACAGTGAAGGCACTTGTCCAGGCGTCCCGGACGGAGCAGGGCCGGGTCGATCAGGTCTGGCCGACTGGTCGCCGCAAGGACATACACGCCTGGGAAGGCAAATAGAAAAAATCCTACCCTCGGAGCTGGAATTTTCTCTGGTGAAAGTGGAACACGCCAGACCAAAGAAACCGATGAAATGAAGTGGTAATTTGGGCCAGTAGGTTCGTAGTTAAGAAAGACAGTGCCAAAACAACGCAAGCACCAAGTCAAGAGGGACAGAAAAGGCCATCACTTAACTGAAGTTTAACTGAAAACTGAAATTTGTGTTTTCAAATAGGTACATTTTCAAACAAACAGGAGGCTGGACTACACAGATCTATTTAAGTGGTTTCATGCTGCAGTTTTGCAATTCCTTTCTCAGTTACCATTTAAATTAGAAGCGAGATGTCCTTTGTGTTAGACACGACAAATAGACAAAGAAAACTGTTTCATGTTAAACTCATTCCTAAAAAATAAAAACATATTTTAGTATAGCTTCTGTAGTAAGTTATGTACTATATCTTCAATGCCTAATTAGAATGTAATTCCCTGAGAAATCAATGTGTGTGTTATACCAAAAGAACTAAAAGATTTCTATGGGCCGTCCAGTGAAAATATCACCACACTCTACTTCTGAGCAATTGACGAGCTTGCGATAGCCTAGGACTCCATCTAGAAGGTGACTGAAAAGAGGCAACAATGTTATACAGGGTGTTTCATGGAACTTGAACCAAATTCTTCCCACGAGACCTTCCTTCATTGCACAGAAAAAAGGTCAACAATATAATGGTCGCTGCTGAAAAACTTAATTAGAGATGTATATAGCATTTGGGATAATTAGATGGTTAGTGTAATATGTTTTCAATCATTATATTTTAGCTAGTAAGAATAGAGATTGATTTCAATGAGACACTTGCTGAGCATCATCAAAAACTACTAAATAAGTAACTTTAATAAACATTTGAGGCACGTGTAGCATTTTACCAGTTCCCAAGAGAAACCTCCAATTTGAATGCACCGCCGAAGGTTTAATTTCCTACTGGGTGCTCCTTGGGGCCAACATCCTATAGTAAACCTAAGCCTCCAAAGCACGTTCTAATGGCTGCATCTTTTTGAAAACGGCCAATGCGGAGAGCAAGTCATCTGCTTGTTGTGCATTGGTTGCGGTGACATTAGAACAACGCCGGGCTTTCATTGAAACGATAGTGGGTAGACCTAAATGCTAGATGCCTTGAGGTCTACCCAATATTTTTTTCAATCAGCCAATAAGAGCTCGGCATTCTGACATCACGCAACCCCTGAGCAAAAAGCAGACAAACTTGTGCAACACATAGGGTACAGTAACCACGGCGGCACATTTAAATTTCGCGCCTTGGAGCAATGCTAAGTTGCATGTACCTCAAATATTTTTCAAATCGAGATATTTAGCGGTTCTTAATGATACCCAGCAAAGGTTTAAAGAATCATCTTTTAAATTAGTAAAAATAAAAGAATGGTTTTAAATATAGGCTTAGTGGGAGCAAGCCTACATATTTAAAACCATATTTCTATCATTCCTAATTAAAACATACATTATTAAAAAGTTTTACTTAAGGGAAGCACTACCCAGAAAAAACGATTTCTACAAAAAAAGTTGACTTTGTAAAATGTCAGTTTTACATCCGCCAACATCTGGAGAGTATTCCCAGAAAGTTTCATTAGTTTACACAGCATAGTTAATTTTTTATAACTTATTTTCGGTCAACCGATGCGAAAGAAAAGGTAGAGGTTGGAGCACTTTGAACGCATTTTTCTCTGTTCCACTTTATGGCATAGATTTCACTATAGGAAAACTATTGTTTTGATATTATGCAACTTGGATTCATTTTTATAACTTTTTCTGGGGTGAAATTTAAAGGGGAAGATAGCTATGAGCTCGTATTTTTAATTTTTGTCATTTTTCATGCTCAAGGACTAAAATTTTGGACAAAGGATGGAAGTCTAAAAAACAGTATTTGTTTTTATGTGGCTTTTTGTCATGAAAGATGGTATAATATAGATATATAGCTCCATAGCTATCTGCTCTGAACTGTCCTAAGGCAATATAACACATGAAAACCACAAATTTATAAGTAATATCAAAACGATAGTTTTCCTACGCAGGCACACCCACTTTTATCTTTGAACATTTTACTTTTTTTTTTGTACTTCACCCAGGTTAACAAAATTTAGCAGAAATGTTCTCAAGATTAACAGAAACAAGCCCTGTAAATCTCATTTAAATCAGACAAGTGGTTCAAAGAGTCACTTTTTTGGGTAGTGTCCCCCTTAACTAACTCAAGTGCTATGCACAATTACTGAATAGGTGCCTACACAATGACCATTACAGTACCAATCCTTCTCTGTGCAAGAAGTTCTTTTCGCAGGAAAATAATGGCTCGTGTTTCTTGAAACACACTATACACCTAATGTTTTGGCACACCAACAATAAAATTTGATGAACTGAACACACTGTAACGCACCTGTGCTTGTTTCCACACCATCGAGAAGCGTTAGCAACTGGTTTACAACCCGGTCTGTGACTCCTGTGCTGTCGTGTCCTCTCCTGTGACGGAAGTCACAAAACCCACAAGGGTTAGTCGGGCTCTCGATAATTTTTTAATGTTCCCTGCTAGCACCCAACTGGCTCATGCAAGTAGAGCTGCGCAAATATAAAACTTTTGACCGTGAACTGAATACAAAAATTAAAATTTAACTGTTAATCTAATTTGAGTACTATTTTTTAACATGAATATGTTATGTTTAGTGTGAATTGAGCACAAAAACTCTAGTATATCACAGGTGGAACTTTTTTGCCAAGAAAACATACCTATGGAAAGGAACAGTTTTATTACATGAGAAACATTTCACATCCTCCCATTAAATTTAAAAAAAAAAGCCCCAATAAGAACACTTCTGTAAAACATAATGTATCATGACAACCAAAAGAATGAATACCTTATTCGTTTTAATATATCTTGATGTCTTCTTTTTTAGCAATGTCCTTCAAAATTAGGGATTGAATTATAATAATAACCAAAAAAGGTTACTTGCAATAGTGAGCAAACTTTGCAAGCCCATAGAGCCAACCGAGATGCTCCGACATGTCAGCCTTACCCCGACAAGTCAGCACGCCGGTGTAAGTGGTGAAGCTTGACACGAGATATCAGGGTCAGGGAATTCCAAAGACATCATTCTTAATTTCCGATTATTACAAAAACTCGAATACTTGGAACAGTAAAAATGTGCAATAAATTTAATTGGATTGCAAACAGTCCTCACGAGTTATCCAAAGTTACTAATATTCTCACACCTCTACATGTAAGCTGCCTGGTAACTGAACTTGCCTGGGTGCAATGGAGTCAAATTCGTCGAAGAAGATGATGCAGGGTTTGGCACTCTGTGCTCTAAAAGAAAAGCAGCGAAAGTCGATTCAGGATGCAACCCAGCAGTCAAACTTTCAATGTCAATAGTATGTCCCCCGAATCGGAAATATGTGTGACTAGACTAATTTGCAATTCTACAACAGATTAATTAGAGAGGAAAAGAGATATGTCCATTACTGCAGAAACTGTGGTCATTCCAAAGATTATCCAGGTGCAACATCACAACAGGTTAAATTGGCACCACTAAAAAACACTTGTGCCAGAAAGTAACTATATTACATTTCTCTTTGAGTGTGAGCGTAACAGGAGCTGCAAGAAGAGGCTTTGAGCTTGTGCCGTCCCGCCGAGAAAGCACGCTTGTGCAGCATTGTTCAGAGAAATATGCTCGTGCTTGTGGCTTAGGCTTCAATCAAATATGAAAGGAAACAAACTATAGCTGTTCTTGTCTTGTCAGCTTACATAAAAGCTGCACCCTAATGTCCACCGTCTTTGCATCACTCTAATCTGATCTTATTCTAAAAAAATCTCGGTTTAAAGGGCAACTCCCCTCAGTTGCGAAAATTTTAGGATAATGAGTGATTTTACATTAAAAGCACTATTAAAGGACACTAGACATTTTCTTCACGAAAAATGGGATATATATTGTTAAATCTCACTTTAAATAGGAGCAGAAATAGAAACCGAAACTTCGGCTCCGTCTGGCAAGATTGGCCTCGGGCCGCCAAAAACATGGCTATCACGTGGTACAAGATGTCGCGTGATCCTCTACACAACGACGGGCAGGTGCTACTGCTTTGGGACAAGCGGGCGGGCGTGGGCCAGGTGCAAGTGCCGTCTGCACCGCACTCTTCACCACATTTTGGTGTTTACGACATTTGACGTCTGCACAACCGCGGCATCAGTCAGCGCACGTAGTGTGACCGAGACTGTGAGAGACAATAATCACAAATGGTGAAACGACGACGGCGGATGTTACGCAGGAGACAGTGGTAACAGCGGGACAGCCGGACGGTTCCCAAGAAGTGCGCTGTGTAGGCACGTTATGCCGATCATGTGGACACCGCTGAGCGCCGAGAGGAAACGCTGCTGACGTCAGCAGTTACGCTTGCCCGGAGAAGTAAAAACAAACAAAAAGGGACAATGACGACGACGTTGAGCTCAATTTTGGCTACGCCGACACTTTAGCTTTGACTGCGCTGTTGGCTGCACCTCAATTTGCCCGCTAGTTAGCCGAGTTTGGCAACTTGGCGCATTCCAAAGTTTGCCGTTCCCTTTATGAAACATTTCGACAGAACTAGGTCATAATATTTGATGTGTGGTCTTCCTAAGTGGTACGAAGAGGACTGCATTGTTTTTTCAGAAACAAATATAAAGAGGACTTGCCCTTTAATTTTGAATGTGCATTACAATCGTAATCCAGCTTCCAAACTTGATCAAATAAAAAGGAAAAAAATTTCTGCGTAAGTGCAGCAGCTCCACTGTCACAAACAACTAACTTCCATCAACCTCAGCTTTCGTTTCTTCAGCTTACGGTGACAAGGACTCCCTGTGCAAGCAACCCTTCGGCTTTCTCTTTGTGCTCATATTTTTCAACTGTGGCCTTGGTATAAAGTTACGTAAGCATGTTACAAAACTTCTATACCAAGTAGTCCCCCCCTTGCATGCATCAAATGACAGGACGAGCCCGTTGCTTCAGCTGCTTCCCGTTCCGCCGCCTTCGATAATGTTCCTGTCCTAGTCAACAAATCTCCAGAGATCTCATGCGCTGCCGGCGGTATAAGCCCGGTTACATGGCTCGACAACAGATACGTTGAGTTTCATTGCACTTGTTTGGAAGAGCAGAACAGTGTCAACAAAGCACATTGCAACATGTCAGAATATCTGGAATGTGGCACTCTAGGGCAGGAGTGGTGCTTGCCCAGGCTGAGGGCTGCAAGTGCAGCTGATGAATAGATTTCTTTTGTTTTCATTCACATTTTCTGGAAAATCATGAATTTGAAAATTTTCCACAAGGTAGAATCAGCACCAAATTATTGTTTAAATATCTAAGACTTAAATTTACCTGAGCATTAGAACCAGGGCGTTGTTAGTCATGCGAATATTACAATACAGACTAACCCATGCTCAGCATGCCTCCCGCCCTGTTTGGTTTTTTTTTACATGGATCATAATGGGAGATGCTTTGAAGAAGTGTTGTCACTTAAATGTGCAAGCTATATCCATTCCATCCATGCATCAAACTAAAGTCTTACCCCCAAAAATACGAAAAGTTTTAGAAATGCTTACCTTTGGAAGACATTTCTCACAGCCTGCTCACTTGCACCAATGTACTTTGACAGCAACTCTGGCCCCTGCAGGACAATAGGCAAAAGTGTTAACTGGTAACTGGGGGGTCTTTGTGAACTGTTGATGCTTTGTGAGGACACCATACAGGTTAAGAAAGTAGCTGAGAAAAAACAAGTTGACCGTACAAATGGTTTCTTTGTGGAACCCACCAGAGCGTAAATACCAAGGGACACCTGTCCAGCGCTTGGGAAAGTAAGGGGTTTATAAAAAGTGCTATAGTCGACCAAAAAACATTGTTTTACAATCCCTTTTGCTTGTTCAATACGAAGTTCTTATACTTCTACCGTAAAATACCGAGCATGCTTTTGTGTCGCAATAAGCGCTCACCACCCATTTTTTTTTTTTTTTTTCAGTTTTAAATATACACAAATGACATGTAGCGCCTATTAAAAAGAAAATTTGCGAGCCTATCATGCTGATTGAAGCGCTCCTCCACGTGAGGTGCTTGTCCAGATCAGCTACTTCACCTAGAAAATGGTAAAAGTGATTAAGCTTTACGTACACGTGTCGGTGCAAAGCAGTAAAGCTTGACACGACAGCGCAGGCGCAAAGCAGGCTTACTGAGAGCAGTGCAGCTTGTCAGATATGCCCCTTTTGCTTTCCTGCTCTCATACCTCACAAATGCCCATCTTAATTTTTTTTTTTTTTTGCGATTATCGCCAGCTTTTGCATGGGCGCTTGCTCGGAATTTTACGGTAACACTAGGGGTAAAATTTTATCAATTCACCCAGTGCATCAGCTCACAAATTCTATAGACCCATTTGGTACAACCTTTTGCCAACAAATCTGGTAACCTGCAAACACTAGCCAAATCCCCCCTGCTGCTCGTGTTCATGAAAGAGTTCCTTTCATTGACAGGGGTTGTCTATTGCTCACGTAATCTGAAACTTACTGACCTTTATGCTGATGAAATTCACACCACATTCTGACGCCACAATACCAGCCAGAAGTGTCTTGCCAGTTCCGGGGGCACCGTAAAGCAATAATCCGGACAATGGCCGAATGGGACTGTTTGCAAACAGTTCAGGATACTAGATGAGGAACAAAAAGAGAGGTCATATGCCATAAGTGTATGAAAAAAAGTTTACAACTTTTGATAACTGGGATAGATCTTTCGCATTTGATCATAATCGCTGGGGCTACCTTTCCTTGAAGGTTTGGCTTCAATTATGGTTCAGATTTGCACTGCAGACATGCCCTCAACAATTCTGATAGCAGACCCTCTGCATCTGACCAAATAGCCTAATTGCACAAAAATAACGCGAGTATTTTTTTTTTTCGAAATTGCATGTTCCAAAACACAGATCGCATTATATTCCAATTGAGCTCGGCCACAAGACGTGCGAGTCGGGAAAAAGCCATCCCTCCAACTGATTGCAGAAGATTTAATGCAAAAAGAAACCAGGGTGTGGAAAGGAAAGTTATTACCGTAGTTCCTGCGCCAGGTAAAGGGAGAAGTAGGGAATGTTGAAAGCATTCTCTGTCGTTCTTATGTTTGTGCAACGCACGCGGCCACAAAAATGGCAAAAACACAATGCACCACACGGGAGTGCGGGACACTGGCCAATTCAAGCCGAGCCAAGACAAAGTGGTTTGTTTATGCAGACCGACCGTAGCAAGGATGAGAATGATTGTGTAATGGTTCCAGCAATCTTTGTTCTGCCTGTGTAATTTTTAGTTTCTGCTCGAGAGTGTTCGGGTGCTTGTGCATTGGTGCTTCTGATTCATGCACCTTGCAAACCAACCGACTTGACGCAGTGTGCCGTGGATCAAGAAGAATAGCTTGCAGACAAAGAGCTCACCCCGAAGAAGAAGAAACTATGAGGAGAGCATACCTCCGAAGTTGTGACAGTGAGAAGGAGCTCAGAGGCGACGTTGAGTGCAGTCAAAACGTATACCCCTCGACTCTCGTCCCCTTTTCACTTCTGCTACACCCTTGTGAGAGTGGTAACTTTACGTTTGCATTATAAACTTTTATTTTTTAGGGGTTTCAATACCTCCCTTTGTACAGGGTGGACAGAAGTCCCTAGCAGATTTAAAATGACCATACTTTTGTTAAGCACTGACCAATTTGTAGAACTCTCTTTTTCTTCTGATGGTGCCCGGCCTCCGAGAAAATTGTCTAGTACTCGCACAACATCTACCATGAGCAAGTGAGAAAATGACGGCCAGACAGCGTGTTGAATTTCCCCTACTGCTACCTGCCTCGGAAAATAACACAACACACTGCATCAACAACGCGCAGTCATTTACCAACTGTAATCGTCATCCACCACAATCAACACAACTTTCACATACTGTAAAACCCTTTATTTTCGCGGCCCCTATTTTTCGCAAGTCGGTCACAGATGACATAACCACGACCACTAAATTTCGCGAATTCCAGACGCCTGCATTGAAAATCTTCAGAACCGAAATTTTCGCGTGCCCTTAAATTTTGCGAATTCTTCAATTCGTGAAATTCGCGAAAATTGAGGGCTCGCGAACATTAAGGGTTTTACAGTATCCTTCTGCACCAGCTTATCGGCAGCAGAGTGCCGGTTGTGTGGCCGATCATACTTGGCCACCTCGTGGTGGAGATGGCCAGGACAATTTAACATGCACGCAACCTGGTCAAACGCGTTGTGCCGCTAGGGTTCCCACAAGCTTCACGTTTTAAGCGTGAAAATCTGTCATGCTTTTGCAGCGATGGTGGCGAGGTGTTCACAATCGGCCGATCAACATGCTTAACTTCGTCTGAACACAATTCGATATCGCCACACAAAATTAATGGCAACTGGGTCAGCTGTAAATGCTAGAGGAATGTATCATTGCTTTATTAGGAAACACTCCCTGGGGATTTATTTCACAAGACACTCGATAACACACTGCAAAGTTTGCGACAGCTGACTAACAACACGGGTACATAGGTAGGTGGACATTTAGTGTACCACCAATGTTCCCAGTACCTTGGTAACAAAACATTTCATACTCTGCATCAATCTATTAATTTGTAATAGAACTGTAACCGTTTAAGACCAGGTAGTGATGTCCTGCCCGCCCTGTATGATATGCAAGATGAATTGTACTTGGCTGCAAAATCTAACCCTGAATTGTTTAACCCAACCTCTAATACATGGGTTTTCAAACTGGTTCCTAGGAGCCCAGTAGTTCCCCAGAGTTTCCCCAAGCTTCCACGTTACCTCGACTGTCCCTGCTTCTGAGTGAAGCACTCTACCGGTATAAGCACTATTTTAAAAGATCTAAGCATTCCAGAGATGCATAACAATCTGGCAGACATTGCAGAGTATATCTGCATTATGGTTTACAAGGTGTGTAGGCTTCACACTTGCCAGTCGCAGTGGTCGAGCAACAGCTTCTTGCCGCAAAATCAACAGTGGCAGTTGCAAAAGCGACCGGTTTCGGGCAGTTGCTTCCAGACCAATTTTTCGGAGTAGTCGCCGAGTCACCCAGTGACTGAATCGATTGGCAGCACTTTGGAAGATACGTGTGTTGCGACTCGCATCGTTTACGTCCGGCATTCTTGTGGGGATGCAACCAACATGTCCGTTCAACGCCTCGGCTCAAGCTAGCAGACATAAATACAGAGCCATGGAGGTCTCTGCAATGGCCCTGATCAATGCAATCAAAAGAGTGCACATCTCTTTATAACAAACAGCACCCCTATTTGAATGAGTACCCAATAAAAAAGGACTCAACCCGTCAGCAAATAGTATGTGGCTTCTGGCTTGACAGGTACGTACTGTACCATGGAAACTCGAGCGAATGCACGCTAATATAGAGATTGTGCTTTCATTGTACAGTTTTGAAGGACCTAGGCCTATATCACGAGCGACACCAAAAATGGGAACGAAAGTGGCAAAACATAAACCCAAGCTGCACCAGGAAGGACAGAATTGACAGCGGCTCCCGAGAGCTTCTGAGAAGCGACTCGCTGAAAGCTCACAGTGTGAACATCAGTGGCCGCTTGTCGTGTGTTGCATGTCGCTAGTCAGTCACTTAGTGTGAACACGCCTTTACCGCATTAGTGCAGCAGTGGCCGGAAAGGGGTGAAGAAGGGGGGGGGGGGGGGGTTCTCAGCTGTCAATCAATGGAGAGAGGCATTCCACGAGAAAGAAAAGTTTGAGAACCCCCATCTTAGTAGATGGACTTGGCAACATACTGTTTCTACTGTCCCTCCTCTTCTCCCTTCTCTTACAGTCTAAATGGCACGTTATGTGGTGAACCAGCTGACCTTGGTGGGCCAGAAGAAGACCTCCTGAAGAGTCTTCTTGACCCCTTCCAGACCTCCCGCATCATCCCAGCTGAGCGTGTCCTCCGTCCTGAGGTTAAGGCCCCGCAAAGAAGATGGGCAGAACTCTTCCAGAGCCGACTCAAAGTCGTCGTCCGTCAGTTCAAGCTTGTTCAGGTCTTCGTTGTCTAGAGACACAGACAAAAAGAGTAAATACAAACACCGATTAATAAAAAAAATTGCAAGTACCAAAGCATTAAAAAATTTAGAGCCCTTCCATTTCACGTGAAGATAGAGGACCAGAGAGCCTGTTTTCTTTACGACATCTAGGTTGATGCCTAGAGGACGACTTCCAGGACGACCTCAAGGATGACTTCTAGGACGACCTCGAGGACAACCTTTCAGACGACCTCAAGGGCAACCTGAAGGACGACCTCAAGGACAACGTCTAGGACGACCTTGAGGACGATCTCGAAGACGATCTCGAGGCCGACGCCTAGAGAAATTCAGCCTTTCCACTCTGGTGAAAACCAAAGTGGAAAGGCCTATAGAGGTTGTCGCCATCTATGAGCGACGGCGGTAGCTGTCCAGAGTTTTTTGTCAACATTTGTTTGCCTGCAGACACGAGACTGAGGAAACTAGCCTTTAATAACTCCACGGTAGAAGAAAACAACTAAAATTTAGGGTGCCATCAATCCTCAGGATTCCTATAAAATGAGCTGCGAAAATTGGTGCCTGCGAGCAGAAGGCTCGAAATTTCGTTAGAACTATCTTAGCCAATGGCTACACCTTGTAAAATTTCAAGACATAAGGTAAAACGGTTACCGTATAAAACCTTAACATCTTTGAAAATTTTAATGTTGAACACTGACAGAGACAAAAAAGTTGGACAGAGTAGGGCTTGGTGTCTTTATCGAGAGGTGGCTTCACAGGTCATCGAAAGCAAATAAAGTAGCGTAGTGAAAATATTAGAATTTTTGAATAGTGGTTTGGAATAATACACTATTCGGTATTTGCTTTGAGGTGAACTGCGATATTTGTACTTTTTTCTAAGTGTTGAACGCAGCGGGTTATCCCCGTTGAGTGCGCTTCTAACCGAGCACCGGTGCACGGAGGGGAAACAATACCCGCGGAGCTCGCGGCTTTGCGGATATTGCTTCCTCGCACTGCGCAGGTGCTCGGAGAGAAGCGCGCTCAACGGGGCTAACTAACCGCGATTATGCGATAGTATATGCTAAGGCCAGTCCAAACAGGACACTTCAGAAATCGTGAGGCGACACGACTCTGACATAAATCGTGCAACAATCTGCTTCCGTCTGTTTTTGTTTTTTTGTTGTTCTTTTTTTTGTGGGGAAGACTTTTTTGTTAAAGTTTGCCCGTGTTTTTTTACGGGGGCCTTGAGCATGGTTATCACATGAGTCCGGACAGTCACTCACACACTCCGTTAACTGTCGGTCAATCGCTCAAAGTTTTCGAACGCAAAAGTACAAAACCCTTATCCCGAAGTTAGAGTAAATTTTGGAACACGGCCAAGGATACGAGGGCTTGGGAGAGCACATGGACAGGATTGGCAGGTGGCATGTGACATCAAGTCTGACGAGCACCGAGGTCACCAAAGAACAGAGGAAGTGAGGAGGCAAATCGTGATGTTTGCTTGATGGTGTTCAAACAAACATCGGACTGCCGGACTGCAAACTTCCACGATTTTTGTCAGAGTTGTGTTGCCTCACGATTTTTAAAGTGTCCTGTTTGGACAGGCCTTTAGACAGCGATGTCTTGACAGCCCATGTTGATCGTTTAAGCAGATTTATAAATCCCCTCCATTATGATAACTGCGACAAATATATCAATTATATCGCACAGTTCATATACCCTAGTAGTTCTATTAAAATAATCAAGCCTAGAAGTGGATGAGTGGAAGGTTAAAAGCAACCTTCATGAGTTTAGCTGAATTTTCATTTACTAAGCATGGTGCACAGTAGTAAAAGACTTAAAAGAAACTATTCAATATTCGATTTGAAAATATTCGGCCATAAACACTATTTGTTTCGAATTCCCCTTGAACTCAAAATCCATTATTCACACATTACCAAAATAAAGTAGAAAGCAGAAGACATAGGATGTACCAACTTGGTTGTATGCACCTACCATTCAAATTTTCAAGGATGTTGTTCTTGGGCTTTGCAAGAATGAAGCTACATCTTGCAATTTTTCAAGGCAGAAACAACCACTAAAACAGACTTTTCACAAAACTTCGAGCTCTTTAAAAGCAAGCATTGATATTTCCAGTCAACCTTATCATAGTCCGAAAGTTAACACTCTCCTATACCCAATGTCTGCGTATGACATGAAATTGCGAATAAAATCTACTCGAGTGTCTAAAAAAGAAGAGCCCGGATGATCAATCGCAATCATTAAACAAAACAGAAAAGTTGTGGAAGTGTATTAAAAAGTGTAGTCATATATGGGATTTTACATAGGAACTTAGCTTGTTCGTGGCTAAGCCTCTTGGCGAAATTTCAAATGCAACTCTCCGAGGCTCCTCGGAAAATAATGAGTTACTACTATTCCTTTCTGGAGAGCCTCAACATGGAAAAGGATGAGTCATTTAAGGGTAAACATCACCTTAAAATTGCAAAAAAAAAGAAAAAAAAAAGACCTCTCCTTTTTATGCACTGTGGTTCCATAGCTAATAGTGCACATTCCTGCAAATTTTTATTGCAGTATCTGAAGCATTTAAGGATGAATAGAACATTTTCGGTAAGTCAACGATGCAAAATCAGACGTTTTCGAAATGTGACTTCTATGTTTCCTACTTTCAAACTGCTGTAGCTCGGCACCGGTATGCCCTAGAATGATGATCATACTCACATTGGAAAGAGCATTTCTTCACAGTTTCAGTACATTAAACATTTTTGTTCGAGACTAAACAGTATTCGGGAGAACACCATAGAGCTCCAGCTTTCACATGGAAGAGGCTATGCACATGGTCAAGAATCAAAAAGCCCGGTCTGATTGAAGAGAAAACTAACTAAAACCAACTTTTTTTTATAGAAAGTCACGTGGTTTCGTCTGCTTCGTGTTTCAACGATGCTTGCCCGGTCCATAATTGCTGACGTTGGTTCGTGTATTGCAAGCCTACCCGATTCCTCACTCGTTTCACAATCAATGTTCACATGCCAACAACAAAATGGCACTCGAAGAAAGCGTTTTGAGCGTGGACTCACTCAGCAAAGACATGCAGGAGATTAGATGTAAGCAGAAGGCACTGCCCGGTGCCTTCTGCTTATACCCAATCTCTTTGGGTGCCTTTTAGTTGCCACCACCACCAGAAAAATCAAATGCAGGGGTGTGGAAACTTTAAATAGGTTTTTCCCAGTTTCACTTTTTGCAGCAACTTTCGTTTAGGAAATCTATTGTTTCAATGAATCACCGAATTTATTCTTCGCTGTGGATGTTTCTAAACTGAAATTTAATGAGGAATGTTGCTAGATATTTATTTTTCTATTTAAATAAAGTTTCTGTCGCCAAAAAATAGAGTTTTGATGAGGAAAAAATGCTCCATTATGTGGAATGCTTATCAAATTTACGTTTTGCATTAAAAAAAACATGGATTTTAAGGTAAAAAATAGATAGCCACACTCCCTATATGTTCTAGTTAAGGCTGAAGCTTAGAGATGCTCAATGTTCTCAGCAATTTTATATGATTGATTTCCTTGCCAAGTGAGGCGACTTATATCAATAGCTGTATACTTCCTCCTGTAGCTTACCGGAAAATTGTCCTACGGAGATGAAACGTCATACAGTGTGTTTAGGCAATGAGATGATAGATTCTCCAATTTTCATCAATGTTGAGCAACTGGTTTGAAATGCGACACTTGAAGGTGGTGTCACCCCATAAAGGGAAGCTGAAGCGGTTGTAAATACAAGAAAAAACACCCAATCCTAGTTAATTAGACCCCAGTCACCACAAATATTATATTCGTTTGATCATTTTATGCGCGGACTAACTGGAAAAGCTCCTTCAAAGTAGCGCTGAAGCCACGCCCCTCCAAAGCAGAGGGAAAGGAGACAGAGGAGAAAGCTCGTCAGCCGACGTCACGAAAGGTCCGGCTGGGGGACCCCGCCACAGCTGGCCGTGCTTCCCTCATAGACTGCTCTACTGACTTTTTGGGTCGTCATCGTTCTGCCGCTGTATAATAGCTCTTGCTTTTATCCGTTGACTGGTCGTGGTATCGCTTGATGTGTTGATTGTTCTCTTGTTTATTCACGGGTTTGCGGAATTCTCGTGGCACCGAAGCAACCGACTTAGACTTTTGCACAATGCCTTACTCGTGTGTAGCCATCGGCTTGCACGAGCAGCGCTTGTCGCAGTCGTTCTTCCAGCTTACCACCCTTTTCACTCCGACACCGAGATTTCAAAGGAATGGGTTCCCGCTAAGTAAACGGACGAGTTTGAGCAAGTGCATTGTTTTATGTTCGGAACGCGTTCTGGACGGCGCGTATGAAAGCAATGTATGTATGAGTTTGAGTCTGAACAATGCTTGCCTGAACTCGACACTTTGCCGACCATCTTTAAAGGTAAGAAGGCAATTCAGCACATTAAAAGGCACACGCGAAGAGGAGACAAAACAAGGTAGGAATTATAGGCAGGCTGATTTAGAAAGAAGCAGTTACGTGATTAGTTGTGTGCAGCGTACTGGAAAAGCTGCAATCATGTAGTCAAATAATGGGCTTCCACTGTCTCTTTTGTGTTAACCACCTTATATTAGTGTTCTATATTTGGTTTCCTGTTATATCGTTGAAGTGACCATATTTTCCAAACCGACTCCACTATCCAAGATAATTTTCTTTTGTGTTTTAATCTACTCCACTACCCAGCCGCTTGGGAGGGGAGGGCTTTTTGTAATAACTGGTCATGCAATTCATCAAGCGACTTTCACGTTACAACTTTGTTTTGTTACAGTTGTTGATATTATTTGAGGTCACACATTTTTTAAACGTAAACATAAATTTTGTTAAGTTACTCTTCCGTAGGTACATAGTCTAGTTCTTGTTGTACAAGTTACGCAGTGTTTTCCGTATAAATTTTGTGTGTCATGCAATGGTTCTTTGTGCTGTAGAAGTGCGATCGGACGATGGTAATACTTGGTGGTAGTCTAACGCAGTCAACAAATTTTGGGAGAAGTATGTGAAGCAGGGTGTCTAGCAAATCATTATTTTGAAATTCCCTGACTTTTCCAGGTTTTCCCTAACAATTTCAGGTGAAATTCCCTGACCACTCAGATGCGTTTAGTAAATATGAAAGATCATTACAACAGAAGGCACTGAGCATTGAGCACTGTGAGTATAATTTTGCACGTGCTTAATCACACTTGCATATTCCGACGGGTTCGTCCAGTCTGAATTAAACGAGCACTTTCTTGCCGCCGACACTCTCAGTGAAGAAACCACTTCCGGAAACAGAATGAAAATGCGACGCTCAACCACACACACGACAATAACCGAATAGCAGCACGGCTGCCGGATGCACACTTTTGGATTTGGATTGTATTGGTGTCTCCGTCTTTCCCATTTGTTACTAAATCGAGTGGCTCTAACTGGATCTAGCCTAGTGACACGCCCTCAATCCAATCCTATTCAATCCGAGGCTTAGACTGGATGTGTCGGCTGTTCTCTTTGCACCGGGTAGCACACTCTACATCGGTTGAGCAGAGCCTGCGCTCCGCTCTAAGCAGAATGTATTGCCTATTTTTCTTCTCCCAAGTACTCACGTCTTTGCTCAGGGCACTCGATGGCGTTTCCGGCTCATTTTCCCTGGCTGGACTCGTTTTTTGACCATATCCCTGACAATTCCCTGATTTTTCCCGGTAATTAAAATTTCCCTGATAATTCCCGGTTTAACCGGTCGCTAGACACCCTGGTGGAGGTAGAGGCCCCAACCCAGAAGCTTTTACAAATTCGACTTCAAATTGAGGGCTGCCGGGCACACATCTCCACTTTTTCTAAAGCAATAAATGTGTAATAATTGACGACAAACATAAAATGCAGCAGAGGGTACCAGAGGGTATCAGAAGGAAATTGAGGGCTGCAGCAGAGGGTATCAGAAGGATGGACCTTCTACGCAGTTATGCGCATAGTACGCAAGTACATCGCAGTGGCAGAACAGCGACCCTGTCTCATTACTCATGTCATCTCAGTAAAAGCTCTCCCATCGCCCAAAGCTGATTATACTATCACTTCAAACCTCACGTGTCCAGCAGCTGCCAAGCATGAAGGACGATGTGTGCCGAATTCTTGTCCTCTGACAACCGTTTTGGGGAGGGTCACACTAATCCGGCCTGACGCATCCCGTCAAAAGCACTTAGTTTATTGTCAACGTTTTACGTTACTATAAGCAGCAGTCAGTATGTTCTTGAACGTATAAACCCGGCCATGTTGCTTGGCACAAGCAGTTCCTCGTGGCTGCCCATATTATTGTGGGGGACATTTTTCTGCTTTGCGAACGACTGGAACGCACACTTTGTCACGTCGAGGGTCCTCTGAACACATACCCCTTTCAAATACTCCAAAAAATTTAGAAAAATTCGAAGCCGAACCAGATCTACAAGAGCAGAAGCCTCAGCATCCGACTGCTTCCGCAAGCGACGGAGCAAGCGAGAATCAAGACGGTTCTTTTACGACTTAGTGACGCGTCACGCATGACTAGCCAATGGCGTGCCACGGTGGCGATCGCTTCTGTTTTCTTCACTTTTTTTCGCTTTTAGTGATTAGTTTGGGTCAAACGGTTGTGATATTTGGACTTAGCAGGCACAAACACGTCAAAATCAACCATAAGCTCACTTTTTTAAAAGCTCTTAAGCTTCCCTTTAAAGGGACCCTCTAATCATATTTAAGCATCTACTTTTTTTGCGGTGCCCACGTCTCTTGGGGTTCGGGCAAGCCAACGGGCACAGAGAGAGTATTTAAATATCAGTGCGTCATATTTTAACCGAATGACGCGGAAACCTCCTCCTCCTCCACCTACGGGGGCGACCCGCGGTATCAAAAGCACGCGACATGCGACGTCTTAGGTCCTGGGCTTACTATTGGTAAGAGCCGCTAAAAACTTCTTTTTAGTCGAAATACAAAATATAAGTGGTGCAAACCGGTATTTATAAAAGTAGTTTTTGTTCAGTATTAAACAAATGCAGTCTATAAAGTACGGAAACAAAAAATGACCCGTCGACATACCCGCCACCAAGCGGTGGAAAAGGCGGCGCATACTAGAAAGGTGTAGCGGGATCAGGCGTCGACGACCGGCGAGCATAGAAAGGTCCCGGATGTATGTGGTGGCGCTGCGGTCGAGGAGCCGACCGGTTCCGAGTGTTCCGAAGGCCTTCGCAAGCAGGTTTGTCATGCAATTTCGCCGTTTGGCGGTATGGCAGCGCGAAGTGGCTCCCGTTCTGAATTGATCTTTACCCCATGTTTGCTGTTGTTTGTGGCTAATGAAGTGTCATGCCGAATTAGTGTTTAATCGCGGAGCAAATGCAATGCGAGTCGCCCTGGCTGCCCGCTTCATACAGCCTATCCAGAACATGCTCTAGTGGTGCCCTCTCGCGCCGTCGACACAAAGTGCGGCTGCCGTGAGCGCTCGCTGAGCTTACTACCCCTCCTTTAGTTCCCGGCCACTCAAGCAACCAAGGATGTCATGAAGGAGGTTATTTTTTGCTTGTTTTTGTAATCTTAATCTAAAGCGAGATTCGAGAAAAGAAGAGTTTCTTTAAGTTACTACGTTCAGTGCACTCAGGTTCGGTGCAAATTAAAAACCAGTAAAAAAACCCTTGCAGGGCCCCTTTAAAGGTACTTTACAAGAAAGTTAACCATTTCTTTGAACATGTTACAGGAAACAATGACGATCTAAGAACACTATTATTGTAGGGAGTTTCCCTCATCTTTAAAAAGTATTTTTCTTCAAGATGAGATCTAATTGGTGGTAGCATACATCTAAAGCCAAGTGCTTTTGGTCCTTACCAAAAGAGTGTAAAAAAATGTCAAATTATATAAGACGTCAAATACATGCAAACCTTCAAATTACCAATTTTTCTACAACTATTTCCTTGCACCGGGCACTAAAAATGCACTTCTGAATAAACAAAAAAAAGTCTATAATAAAGTATAATATCAAGTAAACGGTGCTGAATTCACAGGCAGACTGAAAAGAACATCTCACTTCCAACCAAAGTATGTTGCACAATTCCCATTCACGTTGGTAAACTGTGTGCAGAACACAGGGCCACCAATACAACACGAAATGCATTTTGTGCCAATTAGTTACAAGTCCTACCATCTAACTTCCAAAGAGGAAAAAGAACCAGCGAATGTCACCTGCAGAAGCAAGGCAAGCTGAATGCGTAGCCCGGTCGAGGATAGCGACGAGGTCTCGAGCAAGGCAGCCTTCCGTCTTGGATGCCACATCACGGATGGAAAATTTTCCCTCCAGGTGGGGCCTCATCTGCACCAGGCTCCTTAACATGTCCTCTCGCTCCACCTGATAAAGACAGAAGTGTTATTCACAATGATACTTAGAAAGCGAGGAGTGATTATGCACCAAAAATGGCAATTTGTTTCATCAGTGCAGAAAGTGGGGAGTGATTATGCACCAAAAATGACAATTTGTTTCTTCAATGCAGAAAGCGGGGAGTAATTATGCACCAAAAATGGCAACCTTTTTCTCCGATGCTGAAAGCGGGGAGTGATTATGCACCAAAAATGGCAATTTGTTTCTTCAATGCAGAAAGCGGGGAATGATTATGCACCAAAAATGGCAATTTGTTTCTTCAATACAGAAAGTGGAGAGTGATTATGCACCGAAAATGGCAATTTGTTTCTCCAATGCAGAGGGGAAGCTTTGCCAGTGCAGTACTGTCTACTATGTTCACTGCTAAGCTCACAGGGAAGTGCAACTATGCATTCCTTGGAACCCCCAACTGCCGCTTTTGGACCATGTGATTACACCCCCCCAAATATGCCTGCGGAGGGCGGCATCGGGCAAATAAATTCCAGCGACTGATTGGTCATGCGGGCATGCAGCTTCCATCGTCCAGTCAGCACGGGGTACACGACTGCTAATCTGGTGTCTTTAATCCAAAGCATGCTGTAGTGGTATGAATTGAAGAATTGTTCCATTCCCGTAATCGCAAGAAATTGAGTCTTTTGTAATACCGATACTCAATTGAACATTATAAACCGAATGCAAAGCGTGCATAGACTACTCTTTACAGGGCTCAAATTCCTAGACCTTGTAGCATAGGTGTTCTCCTCAAAAGCACTACTCGGCATAACCACGCAACCTATTCTGATGACATTTGCAGAGATTAAGTACAATTAAAAAAAGCTGGTGAGAATCACCAAGTCAGAAAAAAAAGGAAGGCATCAAAGCACCTGCCTTGTTTGGGGGCTGGATGTTGAGAGCAGTGTAGAAAATGTGATTTCCATGGCTTGCTGTGAGCCTGGAGTGGAAAGATTCCCACGAACGACCAGTGACAATCACAGCCGTTCTGGAGCAAGACTTGCGCAGAAGGGCCAAGGTGCGAAGAAACACTGCATAGGAAACGAAAGTCAGTGTAAACAGCACTGGTCCTTATGTTTCACTGCCATAAATCTGTTAAAATTAGTGTTTCTAAAGTTTTGGCAATCTGCCCTAAACATTTCAAGGATTACATCTCTACCTCATATGCTCCCTCTTTACTCCAATGTATATTTAAAGACATTAACGGACCATTGTAAGCTCCTTGATGCTATTAATTTCATGAGGTTGTGCCATCCTATGAATAGCACACGTTGAATGAAGGTTTTCTAATTGACCGTATTTTTCGTTTTTGACGTAGAACTACGTCTTCCTCCGCACATGGAAGGCGATGCAAAGTGGCGAGTCCATATCACAAAAACTTGGCACGGAAGTGGCATCTCTCGTGTCTCAAGGTGTACACCAATGATGTGGCAAACATTCTGTCGCATCAGTCACGGTGGCGCCTTCAGCTCCTTTCATCCGTGTGTGTGCTTCTTTCCCAAAAAGAAAAAACTTTGTATCGTGAGTTTGAAATGCCCAAAAATGCGCCCAGGTTTCCTTCATCGACTCCGCTTGCAATAACGCATATGAGCCTCAGAGATGGCGATGCGGGGGCTGCAAAATTGCCTCTACTGGATTCCGAGCAGTGTTGTACAGAACGGCGTTCCAAGGAACGACATTCCTGAAACGCGTTCCTTTTAGGAGGAACGAAAGAATGCCGCCGTTCCATTTTGCGTCGGTGGAACTGGAATGGGAACTCGTTCCGTTGTTACGGAAACGGAAGAAGGAACGGTGTTCCTTTTATTTCTTCCAAAGGGGTAATTTTTATTTTAATTCTAAGAAGTGAATTTTAAAAAGAGTATAAAAACAATACATTTGTAAAGAGCAGGGTCTTTAACTTCTTTATTACTTATGGGGTCCTCGCTTGGTAACAGTCGGCTGCAGAAGAGGTAGTGGACATTGAATCTCTTTTCAGTGCCCAAGACTGCCATACAGAAATGAAAACATTAAGTCGAAGGAAAAGACAGAAAACGGGACATGTCAAACTCAGCTACTTTTTTTGCTTCCACGAATCCCCATACACTCAGAAATCTAAGACCGACTACAGCCATCACTGAACTTCCACAAAAGAGACCTACATTTACACTTAAAGAAAAAGGTTACCAGGCATCGAACATACCCTTGTATCCCGAACATTAGCTGGATGCAAAAAAAATTAACCTTCATTCCCTTTTCTTTTTTACCACCTTCAAACTGAACAATGAATCCAACCTTCATGAAGAAGAACTGGTAGTTTTCAAGACCGACCTTCCAAATTCAAAAGTCCTACCCTCTTTTCCACTTGCTCATATAACGGACAGCAACATCGAGAAGCAACTGTTGTTAAGTTTGAACAAGGAACTTTGGTAAATTAAAACAAGTGAGGTTCTTGTAAAACGCTCATACAATGTGGGGTAACAGTACACTTGGCTAGTCTGAATCGCCCATCATACACATAAATATGACAACACGCTGAGATTTTTAAAAGTGAATGTATCAACAAATGAAACCTTGCTTCTGCTTGTTTTCTTCTCCGGTGTCCTTCCATCACGGCATTCAAATTCGTATGTTGCCATTTGATGGGATAGACAAAAAAAAAAAGCTTTGTTTGATCTAATTAATTATGGTAATTACCAAAAGACAAATGTAACGTATATGTAACGATACATTTCATTTTTAAAATTGTAACGGGAACAAGTTCCTTTCTCACAGATGGAACTTGTAATGAAAACGCGTCCCAAAAATCAAAAGGAACGAGGAACGAGCTTCCGTTCCTTTTTTTGAGGAACGTATACAACACTGATTCCGAGCCACGGGCATTCACTTCTTGCGCACCTACCATCGTCATGCAACACGAGCCAGTGGACGTATCTCCAGCTGCCACAAACAACACATCTGGGACGGGTGGACAAGGCACGGCGGCCTCTCATATATCAATCCCCTCTCCCTTCTTGTGCCACCCACACATAGTTCTATGCAAATTTATGCAGCACGGAATACCTATGCACTGACCAATTTTTAATTATGCAGTTCAGTACTATAATGTTAGAATAAATCGATAACCCCCTCCTTTGAGTGGAGCGTAACTTGCAACCTCTGATTAACTGATGGGATCAGTTAACCACAGAAATTATTGAAAGTAAAGCAACTGCACAGCAGAAAAAAATTGTGTCAGCGCTTCTTTATTGGTATTTTCCGAGAGAGTTGATGTATCTAGAAATGTAGAGGTGACGTCCGCAGGTGCTGCAAGAGGCTTTTATGTATATGTGTTTTTATATATCTTGTTTTGCTGGTACATATTCCACAGACCTGACAATACATACTTCAGCTGCAAGTTAGCACTGTGTGTGTTCTATTGCCTTCCATGTTGTCTTTTCTGCGCGTTATACTAAACTAATAATAATAATGCTGCGTGTATGTTTATACAGCCGGAAGTTAGTCAGCCTCAGTCAGCTGGGATCCTTAACATGCATCACGCAGTAGTGATACATGACCGCATGCCGGTAAGATGCTCATCCAGATCAAAACGGGCGAGGTGGGGATTGAACTGATTATCATTTTGGACATTTTATAACACTACGTTACTTGCCCTTCTACACGATGCACAATGTCGCTAAACATTATCTATCGTTACAATGAAAGAGCACCATGCAACAACGGCTTCGGCATTGGCAGGGAACAGCAGTGCGTTGTGCAAATTTTAGGAATTTATATCAGTATTGAGATCTCACCTTTAGAAATTGTAATTGATCACTCAGTACAGCCCCCATTTTGGCTTTGCTTGCATCTGTTCTACAGCGTATTTTAATATATTTTGGATGTACTGTCGTGTCACTGTAGATGAAGGGGCAACATGACCTCATCAGGCATATATAGCCTTTATTCGTGTCCCCGAATAAAGTGTACTACTTGTCTCAAATAAATTGTCTCGTGCATCTTGTATGTATCTCACCGTCAGCCATCTTGTCAAAGTAGCTGGCAGTGGGGCTGTTCTCCTGCTCGGGTCCGGCCAGGCTGCCCACAACGGCGTCCAGGTCGTCGAACAAAAGGACAGAGGGCTCCCTGAAGACACACTCTGCCACGAGTCGCTCCCAGTCCTTAGAAACCTTTTCAGCTCGTTTACCTTCAAAAAAAGAAGCAAACACCACTGGCAAGACCGCCTTACCAGAAAGTTTGAAGCTTTGTGTTGTCCGTCTCGGTTTTATTTATGCTCCCGGGTTACCGTGTCACTAATGAACCAGCTTGCCAGCGCACTTTCTTTATCCTCAGTGACACTCAAGGCTGGTTCACGAGCTTGCGCTTGAGTGCAACACTTGTGCAATCTATGAGGTGGCCCGGGAACATTTTCGACCAGCGTATAACTAGAGTGAAGGTTTTGTGGCATTTGTGAGATCATATCTGCACACGGTGTATGAGAAATGGTTGCTCATGCCATTGTCAGGATTATTTTGAGCACCTAGTAAATGAGCTATGCGTGAAAGATTAGGAAATATATATAGTTAGAAATGTTCCAGGACTACCCAATAGATGACGTAAGTGTGCTATCTCGTCTTAAGCAGCTGCAATGCACTCGTTCACACTGAAATACAAATGAGTGAACCAGCCTTGAGTTGCAATCTGTTTACGTCCTGGAATGCAGGGAATCCACAAGCCAGGAAAGTTAAAGATGAGGCATGGCATTTTTTTCTCGAACGGTAGAGAGCACTGCAAATACGGTCACCCCAACAGGTGAAGCTCGAGCTTTGACCTTGGAGCTGCAAAGGCCACACATTGACTGGGATTTGGTACTGACATGCTTACATACATCTCAGTGATTGGCATTGAGAACACTCCACATTCAAGGGCCGGGTGCGTGAAAGAAAACCGTGATTTGCTCACTGTGAAAATAAACTATACATCCGCGAACGCTCTGTCTCCATCCAAATGATGCGCTAGCGGTCGCGACCAGGCGCCACAGTTTCAGAACTTAACTTAACGTTATCCGATCCATAAGTTGTAAGCAATTCTCAGGAATTTTCAACGAGGACATGGCAAACAACACAGCCTGTGTATACATGAAGGTGAATGGCATCTGCTACCAGGGACGCATCACCTTTCCTCATTTGCAATTTCCAGAAAGTGCTAACAACTTTTCAATTAGATGATCATAAGTTCTGAAACTCCGGTCAAATCCACTAGTGCTACATTTTAGGCAGAGTCTGGGCATCATCTGACACATAGCTTATTGTTGTGTCAAGAAAAACATGGTTCTCTTCTCTCCCGAACATCCGATACATACCTATCAGCTGGGAAAATGTAAAAAAAAGGCAAGCTGTTGCATAACTTCCGTAATTTGTTTGAGGCCTTTTAAAAGTCTCAGGTGAAATAGAGAGCACCCATCACGCATCTTCAAGCGCTATTCCTTCACAGACATACAATATTCGGAAACATTCATTCACAAGATCCAAGTATTTTACAACAAATGCGGCCCATAAAGACACCTTTGCAGTGAGTAACATATTTCCACATGCATGACCGAGAAGGAACCCTTCTTTGTAATCTACAAAATTTGTGTTTATTCTTACCCCCAGTGTAAAAGATAAGGAAGAACAAACATCGAGAAAGCAGCAGCGAGCGACAGTGCGTCAGCGTGACAGCTTGCTAGCGCGAGAGTGAATGAGTCGGAAAGACTGCGGTGGGCTTTTTATCTGCTACACTCAGCATCTCAAACATTCGACTTAAGGGGGGACACTGGCTAGAGGCTGAACTTTTGAACTATTCAAGTGATTGGAATGAAATTAGCAGGGGAGATTTAACTTCAAATGTAGGTGTACTGTGCAAACTTTCAGCTCTCTAGGGCAACTTTGCATACCTGCATAAGAAGATGTGTCACTCTTCGTTAAGAAATCTATGATATGCAAAGGAAGCTATTACGCACCATTTTAAGTGCTTGAGTATAAAGTGGGGGATATGGGACTTCGGGGTATCTAGTTTTTATAACTTAAATGTAAATATTTCAGGAACAGTAATTACCTCAAAATATGAGATGCATATCTGTCCTATGTCAATTTTTGAAAATATAGTTTCTTCTCAATGAGGACTTTAATGTAAAACAAAATAAAGTAGATAGCCCGATTCCCCAGTAAATTTCAGTTCAGAAACATCTTGATTGTGGTATCAGAATAATTTTACCTTCGAACAAAAGATTCCTTCGTATGAAATTTGCAGCAAAAAGTGGAACTGAGAAAAAAGCATTCAAACATTGAACTCCTTTACTTTGTTACTGGGTGATTTCAGATAAGATCGACCAAATGATGGCTAGTCGACATTTTCAAATCGACTGATGTTTTTATATGTTATTGTCTAGTGTCTGGTATGAACGAATCCAAACTTAGTTTTGACTAGAAAAAATACTTGGGGACAGGAAAAATCGTAAGGCATGAGGTGGTGGACAGTTGCATTAACGCGCACTGATGGAGGGGGCCCGTTTGAGAGTGAATAACTAAAGCGATAACATTAGGAGAACTCTAATACGTTTTAGGCGCAAACTATGGGTATAGCTTGCTTGTAATATAAAGTAATCATATTTATTTAAAATTTATTTATTTTTCTAAAAATTGACAAACATGCCTGCTCGAACGACAAATGGCAAACTTTGGAGGTCTGTATCTCATAAAATAATTTAATCATTACGATATAATTTGCAGATATTATTCTACCAATATATAGCTAATATTTAAAAAATAACTAAGGTATCCGTGTGATACAATAGTTGGGATATATTTAGTCAAACATGGAAAAAAAATCAAACAAAGAAAAATTCCGATGCAAATAAAAAAAAAACACCACCCTCGATTTTTTTTAAATTTAGGTAACCTGTTATACTCTATTTCGGCATTCATTTCCATTAAAAACATGTTGCATCATTTTATTGAGAAAGAAGATACAACTCCCCAAATTAGGGTCCTTTTTCAAAGCCTACACTTAGCAGTGTTTTATACAAGAACTGACTCTGAGTTCCAGTTTCATGAAACCAACACACATCTTTTATATATTTTTATTCAGATGAGGCCAATGATAACTAAAGAAATCGTTCACACACTTAAATTAAGGAGAAACTACTGTGTACAAAGAGGTATCACATTACGGACTAGTGATCCGAGAAAAGATCATGCAGCCATCGGCCACTAGGAACTTTGTTTACTTTATTCTCCTGCGACACTATATGCTATTCCCTCTTCCGCTCTACCTTCATCTCTCTCTCTCTCTCTCTCATATATATCCCTGATATATATCCAGAACAAAAACATGTTCAAGCATTCCCTTTCTGCGTTGTAGTGTTCTGTGGCTAGCAAAAATCATTTCCTCGCTAAGCTCACGATTATGGCAAAATAGTTGCCGGAAACCGCAGACGACACTCGTCGCTAGTTCTGGCAAAACGGCCGATACAATCTTTTTTTCGCATTTCCCCGCTCGCTGTCAAGGACAAGGGGGTTCGCTTCAACCAGCAAAACATGGCCACTGACGCCTGTTTACTGAGCAGTCATGCCTGTCGCCATCTCACTCGCTGGCGTCACGGGCGATAATATCGGGCACAAAGGGGCACACCAACCGGCAGCATTATCCCCAAATACTCGAGCCTCGCGTAAATACATAGAGTGTAAACGCTGTCGCCATGTTATCATAGTAAGACCACCCCCCCCCTCCCCCAACGGGGGACTGCAGTACGCGACGGCGTACTAACACAACGGCGACGATATCGACATCGCGGGCTCCGAATTTTCCCATAGTTCTACTCCACGGGCATTTCTCGAAACGCTTGATATTGTGTACGCCCGCCTGGAAGGATTTCAGGCGCGTAGTTAAGATAAGGCGGTTCTCCGCGGCAAAAGAAAGCAATTTCACAAAAGCTTAAAAGCGGCGGCGACGCGTGTGCGGTGTAGACCGTTTTGGTGTAGACAGGGTGTGTGTGTTCTCGTTGTTGAAACCAGCCGGCGATAAGGCACTGCAGGCGGTAGCTCAGTACAGCAGGGGCTAATCCGAGTGACCATCAACGTAACCCCACCGCCAACCCCTCGCGAACCGGTCGCCGACATGGCTCAGGCTGTGTCATGAACCACGTGGTAGAAGCTCGGGTGCTTTCATATCAGCGCGTGGAGGGACGACAGTGCGATTCCGGAAAGTCTTTTTCGAAGGCCGCTGACCACAATTTTTTGTCTGGAGACTTTCCCTCTTTCTTCCTTTGACGTGGATCAAGCTTTGCCGACAGCCTCAGTTGTGACCTCTCTTTTCAAATGTATGTTTGCAGTGAGTGAGCTCCTCAGCCTCGGACTTGTCACTTGTGCACCGAGTAGTTCTTTCACTTGGCAATTATATGCCATCAGTTGGGGTTTAATTTCTATTATTTATGTATACATTATGAAGACGTCCTGGAGCTCCGAACGAGTGTTTTGTGCAGATTACTTTTGCAAACACAAAAAGACTATACCAAAGCAGCGGAATTTTCGAAGTGTTGGCGAGTTGGACCTAAACTCGTTGAAGCAAATTCTTCCGCCTGACTGTTCCACCAAAGTGAGTGCGACGGACTACCTGTGCTACCATTGCTTCATGCACATCACTAACGAGATCTCGATGCAAAGCTCAGAGCAGTGCCCTGACATATTTGTGCCAGCTGAAGAAGCAATTGAAGATCTAAATCGCAGCATACTACCTACAGATGTGTCGCCGCTGAGACAACCAAGCGTAGTAAGAAGTCGGGACAGGCCTGCCTATGTCAAGAGAAAGCAGACAGAACTGGAGCAGGTTGCTGTCGAGAATATACGCTCAAGGCTACGTATTGCGTACGACAGGGACGCACCATCGGGGTCGTCCGAACCAACATGCTCCACATGCACTGAGTGGGTGGACAACTTTCGGCAGGCCTTTGAAACCGCCACCTCTCTCCGGGAACGTTGTCAACTGCTTACACTCCTGCCGTCAACACTGACGAAGAATGAGGTTCAAAAGATGATTCCACAGGCCTCAATGTACCTCATCAGTAAATCCCGAAAACTCAAGGAAAAGCATGGCGTGTGGTATGAGCCGGATCCTTACACGAGGTGCAAGGTGAGCCCTGAGAACCTGTCTGCTGCCCTAGAGTACTTCACGAAAGACGAGCTACAATGTTCGCGCCAAAGTCCCAACCAGAAGGACGTCATCTCTGTCATGCTCAACGGAGAGAAAACGTTTGTGCCAAAGTGCTTCATGACACGCTCAATACGAGAGGCCTTCCGTATATACAAAGACAAGCATCCCGATTCCGGCGTTGGGCTAACGAAATTTTATTCGTTGCGCCCTAGATCGGTCCAATGTATTCCACACCAGAAAGTGTGCGTTTGTGTGCGCTGCGCCAATTATGATCTTTGTATTGCCGCTCTAGAGAATGTTACAGGCTCAACATTCAACACTGGTGAAATGAACTCGGCATTTCTGTGCGACCCAGCAACAGAACTGTGCCTTCAAGGAGACTGTGATCACTGCCCAAAAGGCCAGTTTCTTACACTCCAGGAACTTGATATCCCGGAGGATGAAGAGATTGTGCTTGCAACATGGGAGTCCGGCGACCTTGTGAAAAAAACTTTGGAACTTGAGACTTTCCTAAAAGTCATCCAAGTGACGGTTGGAAGTTGGGTACTTCACAACCATATCCGGCAAACGCAAGGTAAAGCAATCTACGATGAAAAACAGTGCATGCAACGCGGGAGCATTGTCTTTTATTTTGACTTCGCTGAACACTGGACCATCGTGCTTCCTGACGAAGTGCAAGCATATCACTGGAAAAAAAAAACAAGTTTCGATATTTACATGTGTAGTGACGACAAGAAAATCTACAAACAGCTTTGCCATCATCAGTGAGGACCTGTGTCACGACGCCGCTCACGCTTGCTTGGCTCTAGAAAAAGTGAAGGAGTGGGTTGAAGACAACGTTGCGGTATACTCGTACGTGACGTAAGTAAGTGACGGCGCCGCCAGTCATTTCAAGAATCGCTACCAGCTTCACCAATTTGCAAAGGACGATTGCCCACAAACCCAGTGGTTATTTTCTGCATCTGGACATGGGAAAAATGCATGTGACGGAGTTGGCAGACTCGTGAAGCACCAGGCCACGCTAAACAACCTGAGAGAACGTTCAGTAAGCGCAATTCAGACGGCCAGGACAATGGTGAGCATTCTATCAAAGAAACTGAAAGGCGTGCATCTTGTATATCTGGACGAAAATGAGGTTGTTCGGTATCGTGAACAAAAAAAAAAAAAGAAGAGTGGCTGACGGTGCGCGCCTTCCCTGGCATTCAGTCTTGGCACGCGTGGCGGCTCAGCAAGTCATCAACAGAAGGGACCTGTGACGTATATGTAGCACGGACAGTCGGATCTGCTTGGAAGCAACTTTATTCAATGGGTACAGCGAGGAAAACCTTAGCGTAAAGTGCCGAATTTGATTTCCCAATGACTGCTCATTTTGAATGCAGGGACATCTTATTTATCACATTTTTCTTCACGGGGTATTTAACCTACTGTTTTTGTTGGTGGTTACTAATAATTTTTATCTGATCACTATAAAAAAATCCCAAAATGTTATCCTCGAGCAGGATAAAATATATCGGCTTGCCACGATTCATTCATACACCGAGAGCATCGAAGCTGCTCCAGTTAGGCACTATGGCATCCGTCACCTGAAATTGTTTGTAATCGTAAATACACAGCCAACCTAAATATCTTACTATTATATCTTTGTTTTTGTGTGTGGAAGTAAAGTTATTTATTTTACTCTAGATGTAAAATATACCGGAAGGTACAACTTCACACTGCATCATCTTTTCTCAAATCATTAGTCTCTAATATGATACCACTTTGTACGCTTATGTAAAATGCTGTATATAGTTTCTCCTCCCTTTTACTGTGTGACCGATCGCTCTTTTTATCAATGACCTCATCTGAATAAATGTATATAAAAGATTTGTGCAAGTTTCATGAAACTGGAACTCAGAGTCACTTCTTGTATAGGACACTGCTAAGTGTAGGCTTTGAAAAAGGATCCTACTTTGGGGAGTTGTTTCTTCTTTCACAGTGCAATGATGCAACATGTTTTTAATAGAAATGAATGCCGAAATAGAGTATAACAGGGTACCCAAATTTTAAAAAAATCGAAGGTGGTGTTTTTTTTTTATTCGCATTGGAATTTTTCTTTGTTTGATTTTTTTCCCATGTTTGCCTAAATATATTGTAACTATTGTGTCACTCAGATACCTTATTTATTTTTTCAATAATAGCCATATATTAGTAAAATAATGTCTGCAAGTTATGTAATAATAATTAAATTATTTCATGAGATACAGATTTCCAAAGTTTGCCATTTGTCGTTCGAGCAGGCATGTTTGGCAATTTTTAGAAAACTAAATAAATTTTTAATAAATATTATTACTTTATATTACAAGCAAGTTGTACCCATAGTTTGTTTGTAAAAAGTTTTAAAATTCTCCTAATTTTATTGTTTTAATTATTCACTTTCAAACTTCCATCAGTGCGCGTTATTGCAACGGTCCACCTCTCCCTGCCTTACGATTTTTTCTTGTCTCCAAATTTTTTTTCTGGTCAAAACTAAGTGTGGATTCGTTTATACCAGACATTAGACAATGTCATATAAAAACATCAGTTGATTTAAAAATGTCGACCAGCCACCCTTTGGTCGATCTTATCTGAAATCACCCTACCGCCTCACAATATGTTGAAAATATTTTATATCAACGTAAATATTTGTTGCATGGTTATGAAATTTAGTGTAAGGGCGTATAATTAGTTTCTAAAACTGAAAACCTCAAAATTGAAAAATGAATTTTTTTTTAAAAATTTTGAAGCTCAGGCCCATGTCCCCCCTTAAAAAGTTTGGGCGTGAGCTATGGCGAGACTGATTATGAAAGGACATTCAGGCCTCCTTATCTTTTATACTCAGGGTAAGAATAAACACAAATCTTCTAGATGTACCAAGAAGCGTTTCTTCTCGGGCATGCACGCGGCAATATTAGTTTGTCCAGGCAAAAGCCCACAATGTTCAACTTACGAAGGAATAGCGTGCAAGTAAGTGCAATAATGTCGCATGTCCGATTGGAAGGATATGCCCATAGAAGAACAATAAAAATTAATGGATCAAATGAACACAGAGAGAGCTGCAGCTGGCTCCAAGTATAGTTACCGCTAAGCGACGCGCAGTCTACGGTCTGCACGTGGGCAAAGGCGGGGGAGTCTGCCATGCGCTGTGCGAGAGCTCGAGCCAGGGTAGATTTGCCGCTGCCTCGCTGACCGGTTACAAGGAGCACAGCCCCCGAGAGCTGCTGATCGCCTCGAAGCTGCTGGGCAAGGGGCGTTGCCTGAAGCAACAGCTCCAGAAAGGTCAGCGCTTGCTGGTGCAGGTGCCCCACACCGCTGAAAAAAGATGACTCGGATCTCTTCGTTTGTCCTAATACATAGTATCCACATTCACTGTATGTAACTCAATCGAGTTAAAAGATGCTGTTACAATAAATGCCTACAAAAAAGAAGATAATTGAATCTTGCTAAGAGGGTAACAGCATGTAAATCATTGTCCACTTTACTTTCTCTCACCTTAACGTAACCGCAAAGGCTAGAAGCACAAGCTATTTGCGTTCAATTGCGCCTTATTTGCAGGAACACTTGTGCAGCGGGAGTAACGGTCAAAGCTACCCGCTTGGGCTTGTAGCCGTTGCGGTTAGTCTCTGTTAAGCTGAGGTGAAGTATAGTGCTAGTCTGTTTCCTTTTAAAAAAACATTACGGGTGAGAGGTACACGATGCCCCAGCAGCTTGCACACTGGAAAGTATCTCTTTCTCTGCTCGCACGATCATGAGATATATGCTATCTGTTTTCAACTTTGATTTAGTAACCTACCAACTACCAAACCAACAACCATATCAAAATAAAAAACTTCATTTACCTCACCTGATGGATTTTCAGCAAAGCTTCTGTCTGCACCCCTTTCTGTCTTTAAAAGAACACTGACAGGGTATTTACGCTCGCCAAGGTTTTTATTTTTACGTGACATATGAGAGCTCAACTACCCAGAACACAATTTGCGGCTCAAAATTTGTTTTCTTTCTACCCGAAAACCGCCGATCAAGAACTGGCCCATTTCAGTCGCGCTCACTCTCTTCTCCGTGGTCATGTACCATTTTCTATGGCTTAGACACAGCCACCAAAAATAATAAAAGTCGTGGGTCATCGAAGGCACAAACTCGATACTAAAATGAGACAAAAGATATGATACCCATTTTCTGTGGCTTCTAAGAGACTGCAAATATGTTGATTGGAAAAAAAAAAGTTGTACAGCCACGTGACTTGTGGTAACTTTCTCCTCTGTAAGTATTTTGCTACAGAGTCATGTATATTCTTAATAAAGTAAAAAAACACAACTGCTCAAAACTGAAACAGAAACATGTGCACAGAGGCTCGGAGGAGTGCATTGCCAGAAGTCATGTGGCTATCACTGCCAACGAGGATGTTGCTTGAACCATCTGTCGTGCAATTGTTTCGCACTTATATCCCTTCCTCTCGCTATTCTGTGTTTGAAGATCGATTGGCCGGTACCACAAACCGCAGTTCCTGAGTAGCGGTCCCACGTCCGCCGCAATGTTGGTCTGTCATGCGCCGCTATTGCGTCCTCCAGGCCGCGGTGCGTTGCCATATCGAGAATCACGTGTACATCTACTTCCTGTGATCTGTGCAACAATTTTTCTTTATCAACATATTTGCAGCTTCTTTCTAGAAACAAAAAAAAGGGGGTTCATATTTTTTTGTATTTTTAATATTGAATGTGTGCCTCAGATGACCCACGAACTTGAATATATTTGGTACACATCAGTTTGAATGGCACGTGACGTGGAAAAGAGAGCGAGCGCACCTGAAACTGGTCAATTCTCGACCAGCGGTTTTTGGGAGGAAAAGACGCCAATTTCGTGCCGCAAATCGTGTTCTGGATAGTTTGGCTCTCATAGGTCATGTTCAAATAAAAAGATTACAGGAGGAAACTTAACACTGCTTACGTGTAGGAAGGCGAGAGCATTATAGTCTGCGGGAGAAACGTTTTCAAACAATATTTTTATGTGTATTAAAGTTTAAGACGTATAAGACAACGTCCTAGAGATCGACGCCAAGTATGGCGTCGATCTCTAGGACGTCGGATGACATTGAGGATGACAACCTCAATGTTGGATGACATTGAGGATGACAACAAGGACGGCATCGAGAACAATCTCTCCGACGACCTCGAGGACGACGTCGAGAACGAAACCTAGAGGAGGACACTTAGGGAGGCTGTGGAGTATTTGCAGGGGCAGCCACGTTTGCCTGCGGAAGCCATTGTAGAGGTAGACGCTACTGCCGATGCCGAGGCCGTAGATGTAGACGCAGTCGCCTCACAGTCTATTGCACGAAGCACACAACGAGCACAGATGAAGCTGGAAGTGCACCTTTTGTACATGATGTTCAGGTGGTGACATCATGCTCCCACACTTGAGCGTGAGCAGTGCGTGCTTGATGACATATTTTTATGGCCATCTTTAGGACACAATGACGCCACTCTTTTGTGTAATGTGACAAGTAAGGTCGTTCTAGAGGTCTAGGATGACCTCTAGGATGTCCTCAAGGATGTCACCAAGGACGGCGTCGTCCGTGAGCATACGAATAAGTGGTGCATGCTGCTTACTAGTATTTTTATGGCCATATATGTCGCTTTTTCGCTCAATGGTACAAGTAAGGCTTTAGCCTTAAAACACTGGCATGCATAAGTACCCTGTCAGCGTCCCTTTAATTTAGTATTTTATCATGATGCCATCGTTATTGTGGTGTTCTTTATGTTCAATATTTTTTCACCATGGTTTTCGTAAAGCTCTAGCTTTTCTTTAAATCATATCATCTTTTTTACTCTGCACGTGTGTACACATCACGCCTACTACGGAACAGAGCAAACAAATACGATCGTAGGAGTCACCTGAAAAAGGGTGACACCTAAGCTTTCTTTTTGTGAAAGGACTCTCCTCTTCTGCAACAAAACACCCAATTTCTTTACTGCAAAAAGTGTTGCTCAATGTTTTGTAAACCTCATTTTCATTCCTTAAACTTTGACCTCACGCATGCATGTTGCAATGGAGAATCAGTAATTTAGCTTAATGATTTGGTCATCACTTGACATAACAAAATTGTTCTCCTATGGCTCTATGGTTTTGTTAGAGTAATGAGCATCCGCTCGAAGGAAGGCATAAAATGATCAATTTTATTCAGCAATTTTGCTCTGTATTGAAAAAAGAAACTTGGAGAGCTTGGTTGTATCGCATAAAAACAGTAAAATTTTTACAGTCGAAGTTCACGTTTCTTTTATACCTTCTTTTCTATGTCAATCAGTCTGCTTCTAACTTAAGTTGAGGAGATGAACATGGCAAACTATACACCTTTCCAAAAAACACTCGACCCCAGGGGCAGCAAACCGTTTTCGAGACCAGTCACTGAGTTTGAGGCTAGACTCTCACCGGCGTCCCTCCTAACCCTAACCGAGTGGACTGTGATTTCAATAGACGCAGCCTGCGTAGGTGCAGTTTCAAACGCTGCTGGCAGCTAAAATCTCGTCTTTTCCCGCTATATTTTGTGTTTCATGGTACATGTATTTTCCCGGAGACATTGAGAAAGCGTTGTGCCACATTTGAAAAAAACACAAAAAGCAAAAAAAAACAAAAAAAACCTTAACTATTTTTGTTGAGTACGCGCGCGACAGAACGAATGCGACTGGAATGTAGAGTACTAGTCTTTTTTTTTTTTCTTACGATAAGTTTTGACGGCGTTGCGGGATTCGCCGCATGTGAAACGACAAAGCGCTTTGCTGTCAAAAATAAATTGCAACAGAAGAGGGCCGAAAGGCATGCATTTTTCACGCTCACAAATAACGTGTTTACCGATGGACAGGACACGGACATACAATTGAGGAAGTGTTAACATTCGAACAATACACGATGCAGCGTCACCCGAAAATAATTTATTTGAGAAATATCTCAAATAACACAGTCACAGTCGACGACAGTCACATCTTGACGATCGGACGGAATCCGAGATGACTTCGTTTTGGGGCACGTTTTGGGGAGAGCTTCTCTTTTTCACAACCGCACCAAGGCAAAGCAACGAACGCGACTGACCCGTTTCCCACCCCAACCCGAACAACTATTTTTGGAGATGACTGAGGATTCTCTGCGGATTATCTCTGGGAGGGGGGAGAACAATGTTCTCAAAATCGCGTCGAGGGTCGTTCGACGTCCTTCACCTCCTTCGTTTCCCGTGAATTTCGAGCAGAAAAGCTTGAATGACAGGCACGCCTTATTTTTCACAATGGAAGATAACACAAAAGGGGTACGCAGCACACATAAAAAAGTTAAATGGAAACTTTCAAAAGAGGCGAGAAAACGTCGAATGCAAAACCGCAAAAACGTAGGTAGAGAACCGCGCTGAGCGGGTATTCACAGTCCCAGAGAGTGGCAAAAAATGTCTAGCTAATAGAGGGCCCGAGAGTCGCGCCAGCCGCATCAGCATCAGCAACATGGCGGCGGCCTAGGAGCGTTTTTTGGAAAGGTGTATAGCCAAGCAACTCTAAGAGTGCTCTACTAACTTAAAAGCTGGAACACACACACACACACAAAAAAAAAGATTTTAAACTTCAGGTCAATGCAGACAAAATATATGGTATATTTTTTTTTAAATGCAGAGCTTTATAGTACTTTGTTTCACCTTACAACCAACTGCAGCAGATGCTATGAGCCATCAGAGCTCATCTAATGACGTGCAAGTGTCACGTGATGTGTGGAAGGTGTAGTCACACGCTGCCTCACAGGCCGGGTGGACTCGTAGCATTTGCCACAATAGGTCGTAAGGTGGAACAGAGTGTGGTTACGACACCCAGTGCCTTGGTGTAACTCAAAGACAGCAATGGGATCAGAAACGGAGACTCACCCGAGTTGCTCGAGCTTCATGCCGAGAGGCTCGGGATTAACTTCACTCAGCAGCTGGACAGGCAAGGTCATAGTGCAGACCTTAGAAAGCTGCGGTTTCACCGGGTCGCCCACTTGAACGTGCAGACTTTCGCCAAAGAAAGTGCACTCGACGACTGGACTCTCCCTCCGAGGGCTCTGGGGATCTCCCTCGGTTTCCTTTTTGTGACGACAGAGCCTTACGAGGTGATTGGTCCACTGATCTGGATCTGCAATGTAAGTGATCTCAATCGGTGCTCCCGAAAAAAACATTTACTGTAAATGACAAAATTTTTGCAAGGACCTTTCTTTCGCAAATTTAGCGACTTAAAAAATATTTCAAAAAAAAAGATCACGCAAATATATTACCCTATGGCAACTAACACACAGCGTACCACTCCCAATCACGAAAATTTTGAGCAGCAATCTTTTTCCGAAACTTGCTCTTCGCTAATTTTGTGAAATATTGAGCCTGCAAAAAATGAAGACGTTTACAGTATGTTAAAGTTCTAGCTCACTTTAATGGGACATATCCCTCGAGACACTTTCTCACTAAATAAACGACACGGGTTGGTGTAGAAGTCACATAATGATTAGAAACAAAAATTTGGGATTATGTATATCAGGTAAGTTTATGTACAGATTAGGAGGTTGTAATGCTGCAAAGAAATTCTTGAATACAGAGCTATATTCAGTGAAGTTCCTCATTTGCTTACTTCTTTCCTCACGATAATTCAGGACTTTGATGTAAAACTAGAGAACAGTAGCTCATATTTCATTACAGCTAGTCTAACCGAAATTATGGCAATGGTTTGATAATTGTTAACATGCTCTCAAATATTTCTCTTGTAAACTGCACAGAGTCCAAAAGTAGTCCACTTATAAAAGCTCCATTAAAAATAAGCTATGGTTACAGTGTTAACATTTTGTAAAACCTTTGAACAAGTGGGCTACATAGCTTATATTGGCTGCAGAATTGAGGTGCCTAAAATTAGGTATGTGAAGGCGCTTACCATTTCCAGTATTCAGCCGTACCAGTCCTCCCGATGAGAGTACCAGGGGGTACTCAGAACTGGACATTTCTCGACACCTATTAAGAAAAGATGTTGTCACAACCTGATGTGGCAGTCGGGTGTCCTGTAAGGACAAAGAAACAAACCCAGCACAATGAATAAAAAATTTTATAGGTACTTTAGTTCTTTCAGTTTTTTAAACAGCAGCTTATAAATGCACCTGTAAAGACTTTGGACTCTAAGTGTCATAAAATGAGAGTCTGCTTGAATAAAAACATAAAAAATCACGCTTTAGGGAAGCAGATTTAGAAGCATCAATGCCTAGATTCATAGGAAGCAGTGTTTGCTGCATTTCTTTTCCAGGTTAGAACTGCAAGCCTACATGAGTAAGTAGACTATGAAACTTGTTTAATTTTTCTGTCCCCAATTTCTCATTATTCAAGCACATCAGACATATTTTAAGTCCCTAAAATTATGAAGTTTGAGTAAATTTCGAATCTCAAGAGAAGGTCATCTATCAGGTCTTCACACGTTTAATACATAAAAAGAGAAGGTGGCCTTTGGTCCGGTTCTGAAAGAAATAAACCATCGGCTCAGATAGACCAAATCGTCCATCCCCTTGGCATTCATGAGATTTCCAAATAAGCAGGGCACACAAGAAAGAATGCATACTGCGCCACTCACAGTGTCTCCCACTTGATGAAGCACGACAGATTCAAATATGCCGGGTTGCTCCGACACCGACTGGAGCTTCACCCTGCTAGCGTAATCCAGCCCCAACTGGCGTCGTAGCACGTCCGAGATCAGCACCAAGCCGGTGCAGTGAAGGAATTCAAAGTCCATCCACGACAGCGGTACCACAAAAACTCTCACAACGCAATGTTCACAGTCAACAACTTTCGCCTTCACACTCTTGTCGAGAGAAGCGCCCTGCTTGCTCTTTGCGTCTGCGGTCATCTTTGCAAACTTCTCAAGCGGCGACGCGACCTTCGTTACGCTGGCCAGAAACGTCACGATGGAGTCTTCAGCTTCGCCGGGGAGTTGATGGGGTAACAACGTCCTGGACACGAAAACAGTCGTCGGATGGTTGAAAAGGGTTCGCACATAAGGGCGTCTGTTCACGACCGTCAGGTCTTGAAAGTAGGAATGAGGAACCACTCGCGCGACGAGGAGCGCATCTTTGAACCAAATGAGAGAGTTCTCGTGCCGAGGAGGGCCCTCTGCTACTGGAGACGACAACTGGCTTGCAGGAGAAGATGATGGCAGCACCGTTCGAGTCATGCTGGCAGACACGGATGAGACGAGAGACTTCAAGGCACTGAGCACGTTCGAGGGCTGCTCCTCTTCGAACGAAGGGCTCAGAAAAGGAGGGGGCACTGCACCTCCATCGTGGGGATCCAAGTTTGGCACCACCACGACCTCGGTATTGTTCACGAGGAGGACAGGCTGGAAGTTTGGTGAAACACTGGCTAGAAAAAAATGAAAGAAAGGATCTAAGCCACTGAAGAGGTGGAGCAGATATGTGACAACAGAGTCACGACTATAATAGAAGATGGCATCACTTGTCAGGGGCACAAAATGTATTTTAAGTTTCTGATAAAGTTGTTATCAATGGTCTCTATGAAGAAAAAGTCAGAAAAAAATTGTTTTACCAGATGTAACACTCTAAGGATGTTGCTGATGCACTTCTAGAATCACACTGCCAGAATGCAAATTCTAATTTGATTCATGCATTCCGTTTTTTCGAAGCAACCCAGCATGAAAGCTACCTTTCATTGAAGTACCTAGCCTGCAGAACTACTACGCTTGTTTTAGGCGAGAGTGACTGGGAAAGGTTTGATGTCACGAGTTATACCGAGTTCATGTAACTATCGAAGTGTCCCAGCTAGAAGCTTGCACAATACTGTATACAAACGTAACCCTGTTGTATAAATAAAAAATGCATGTGTTCCACTTACCAACAGTGACGGAAATGCAGGAGCTGGGAGGTATCCAGATAGGAAATGCCATGCCACACCACACCAGTCGGATTTGGTTCATTAAATTTCTTTCAACGAAGGCAGCATTATCATTCTGGAATAAGTAAAAATATTTGGAAGCGCAACAGAGAATGTTAAGAACTGTCTATTCAATTCAAAAAGAAAGAAACTGCTTACGAGCGTTTCCCAGTCATCGGCAGACACTGGCTTGATCACAATTTGCCGGCCTTGGTGCAATCCTCCGTTTCTTTTCTGTACAATCACCTATAGAAAGTTACTGCATTCAGTTTTGTGACAAAAAACTGGAGCAGTACAATGTCTTTAGAAGAGTGCACAGTCGTCACAATGTTGATGTCTTTTTGTTCAATTAGATCTTACAATTATCAGCAACATACATGCATTGCCTGCTTTTCACGCTAATTCTTCTAGTCCTTGTTTTACCTTTTACAATTGCTTCCTTTATTTCTTAACAATTTATGTATTATCCTTTTTATGAATTTATCTGTCAATTATTCCATTGCCACGGGTAAGAAATAATGAAAGCTTAAGTGAAACACTATTGTGCAGCCATTAAAGTGGATTCAGTCGCTTTCTTAGCAACGTAAGGTTTTTCGTTTTGTTAACCAGCATCAGCTCTCCAGCAATTTCCCTGCTTCTACGCTCTTCTGGCGACTTTTGAGTCCAATGAACACGAAGGGTTTGATATAGACGGATCGCATATAAAGTCGATGACAGGGTGTTAATTCAGCATGTGCTCATTAACTTCCGCATGGCTTTAACTGTGCATGCAACGAAGCGTCACCGAAAGCAAAATGCTCACACTGGAGGCGAAGCATCTACTGAATTCTTAGCCTGTTACCGACTATACTGCAATCATTTTAAGCTTTTCTTTGCTGTCGCAGTGCAGACTTTCCTCGTCGTGCTTGTGTGCAACGGGCTTTCATACCTTACGCTTCCTTTTTTTATTAGAGAGTTACCAAGAAGCAACGACTGCAAATAAAAAAGGGAATTCCTGCACCTACTCACCTCCTGTCCATCTGTGAAACCAAAGCTTTGTGCCAAGGCACCGTTAATTTCAATGCAGACATCAGAGTTCCACGGAGTCGGCAGGGTGACGTCGCCATTCCACGAGAGGTACACTTTCCTCTCCGAAAGCGAGCTGACTTCATAAACAACTAGACCGTCCTGAAACACAAAAAAAAGAAGAAAAAGGAGAATAAAAAAGGTCTTAGAGACATTCAAGCATCTGCAGTAACTGAGAGCTTAAGAAAAGCAGGGCGTGGTAAGTTTTGTGCATCTCATTATCGCTTTGCACCCAATCAGATTGCGGCACTCGCCGATAAGAACTTTAAAGAATCAGTCACGAAGCAAGCAATGTCAACAGAGTAAACCACGCTCTGCATTTCTTAATCTGTCAATGACTCTAGGGGTTAATCAGGAAGAATGTCACAAACGACACAAGCGTAGATTTAAAAACACAGAACACTTATTTGTTGTTTTCTTGTTTGAGGGGGGGGGGGGGGGGGGGTACTTTTGCGTGAGGATATGTGTTATGTAAATCTGTAAATGAACATTAAATAAAAATATTTTTATGGTCATGGGTCTTTTTTATTCGTTTGCTTTCATTTCTAATTCAATGATTGTCCCGAAATGTTTTGAGCGACGAATGCACCGCGAATATTAGACTTTGGTGTGGATAGCACTTTTCGACAAACGGTTAATACGTGTGTTGTGTAGTACAAAACGCCGCTTCCTAAGTCATACAGCAGACAAACAAGCACCAAAGTTAGGAAACATGTTTTCTGTTACTGGGTGACATTTCAGAAAAAGGCAGCTGACTTACGTGCAAAGAGTTTGGTCTGTCTGCCCATGCTCGAGGTATAGCGATGAAGCACGTCTGTTTTTGGGTAAACTTTAGAACTGCCACTTCCATGGAACTCATGACGGGTCTGGTTAAGAAGGTGCTGCGGTCAAATACTATGTTCCGGTACTCTGATCGACATTCACCGTCGCGTTTTGTCGCTAGCGTTTTCGGTCGTTATTTTAAGGGAAAAAGCGAGCAGAAAGTCAACTGCAGACGAAAACGGTATCAATACTTTGTTATGCGGACACCATACATGATTTAAAACAACCTTTCAAGGTTCGCTTAATTACCGTATACAATTTTGTCAATCAAAGACCTTATTTGTGACAGTTCGTCGTCAATCAGAGCGTCTTATCGATTCAAGGAAGTCCACATGTCTGACGTAAACAAAGGTTTGCGCCTCGTCGCCACCTGGCAACTACGTCGGCTATGCGCGGAGGTGGATGAATGGCTAAATTATTGCAACTTAAGAATACATACAAAAAAATATTTCAAGCGACAATTTTATAATAAATATTAACAAGTAAAATACCAAGCTTAAAATTTCATTTGAGTTTGAGAGAACTTTTGGATTAGTTGAGAACGCGGAGAGGCGCCATACCGAAACCAGAGCTGCTAATAGCTGCCGACATTCGATATTTCATAAGTTACAGAAAAACAAATTGTATTAGTTCGATTATAATAATAAGTAAAGGATTGTACTACTTATCTCTGCCTACAAGTTGCCAAATTTATCTTGCAAGGCAAGGCGTTCATTGAATGCTGACGCAGAAAAAAAAATGTTTTGGAAATTGACAACGCTTTTAAAATTACACCGTATATCAATTTAATTCGAACCCCTACTGTCAGAAATAAAATGATTATGGCATGGGGATATCGATAGCTGCAAACTGCCAAACTCTGTTAGCCGAAATTCAAGTTTCTCGAGCTTAGTGTTAATGATTTCGCGGAACTCCCTAAGGTGGGAGAAGGTAGGAATGAACAAACTTTAGGGTGACCACCCGTACCGCGACTCGCGGGACTGTCCCGCATTGAGGGCTCGTGTCCCGCGTGTCAATGCGAAAGGGTTGCTGTGGATTTTTGTTTTAGTGAAGACAGCCCCACAAGGCAAAAAACCTGCAACTCGCAACAGTCGAAAAAACACATAATGTTACAAATTTGTGTAGGACCATGTTGATAAAAGTAAGTATTGACAGGAAAAAATCCCTAAAAAAGATTTACTGTTTCTTATTTCCATTTGATGCATTGAATTCTGCTACAGTCGATTTCTGTTTCCAACTTCGACACATTAAATAATTAGCACATTTGTCATAAAAATATATCACTTGGTGCGAAAATTAACTGAGCTTAATTGCTGCAATACAATTAGCAGGTGTATAAACAGCGCAGGATATTAAATGTGTTAACAGAGCCCCGGTTTATGGTGAGCGTGTTAATAAATTTCCTCTACCCCCCCCCCCCCCCCCCCCCTTCTCGCCACTCGTGTCCCGCATTTCGCTAGCAGGAAGGTGGTCACCCTAACGAGCTTTCAGCAGAGAAGGCGACTGGTGGCTGCTGAAAAAAAATATTCCCACCTCTTTCCACTTTAGCACAGCGAACGCTGGAGAGTAGGTTGCCTCCTCTCCATCGTTTGCTCTGCTAAAATAGAAATTCCACTCTTTCCCACGTAGTACGAGAATGTTCTGAGAAAAACACTCCGGGGTTCAAAAGAACATAGGCAACATTCTTGGAATGTTGCAAATTTAAGAACATTCTATCAACGTTGTCAGAATGTGGCGCAGGCGCTTATCGCTACATTTGGGGAATGTTTTCTGAGGGGCATTACGTTCTGAGAACGACATATATTACCAAGGCATTCAATCAACCTTCAAATATCCTAACAAGGTTCTAAGGACCTTCTCAGGAGTCAGAACATCCAAAGAACTTCTGCAACTTTCATGAAATGTTAAAAATTTATGCAGGGACATCCTTCCAATCTCCTCGGAACGTGGCATGGGGACATCGCTACATTCAGGGAACATGCTCTGAGGACTATTTACAAAGATTCCACAATTACGGCTTGCCAAAGATACAGCCCCAATGATGTGATAAAGCTCTTCACAGGGCAATATGCATTAATGGAAACTAATTTTTAGAAGGCACAAGCTCGCCACTTTTTCAGCGCACCAGCCTGAGCACATATTAATGACACTTTACTCCTGCCTGTCACTTCTCAACTTCTTTTATTCAATATGTGCTGTATACATAATTGATTACTCATTCCGAGCTTAAGAATGAATACACATGGCATCCCACATTCAACTGCGAAATACCTTTTTCAAAGTTTCAAACCCCAGATACTAAAAATCTGGTCCATTCAAAACAGTCCCTTTACATATGTAGTGAGTGCCAAGTTCATTATCAAATTTTTAAAACCATTGCTTTTCTCCTACACCTTATATCAGACTCCTCGGTAGACTCATATAAGATAAAACTGATCCCTTATGCTAAGTTTCTAGAAACTCCACTTAATTTGCATATTTTTGGCACAAAGTGGCATATAGTGGATGGTGTTTCGAACAACAGGTTGCGTGAGAGCTCCGTAAAGTTGGCTTCACTTGCGAAAATTCTAGAAATGTTTGCAAGCGAACGTTCCAAGGATGTTGCGCATATGAATGTTCGAAAGGGGTTGTTCCGAGAACATTGTGCATACGAATGCTCACCAACGACCGTTCCTAGAATGTTGAGCAGCTTACCTTGTAGGGAATGTTCGCATATGAACGTTCCGAATGGTTCCTTCGACATTCAGAACATCCAGGGAATGTTCACACAACATTGGGTGCTACCTGGGTAGTGAAAAAAATCCGACTCCTTGCGGAGCATGACTAAATTGCCTCTTCACCTAGAGAATTAAAATATATGTAGGGGCATTTTAGATTGGATATATGTTAGCTTATCGAGACGCGCGTTTCAAACGCCAAAAGCATCGCTTCTTCCCCCGACAACCAAACCTTGTAAGAACCCCATCTAAATAGTTTGTACAACCCAACTACTTTGTGCGGCGCAGCGGCGTACCAACTTGTTTTTGAGTGAGGGGGCAAACCAAACCCCCCCCCCCCCCCCCCCCCGAGGCCAGGGGGTGGTGCCCTTGGTATCCCTTGGGCGCCGCCGGCCAGTGTTTGCCCTGCCCAGTGGCGGCTGTTTCAGGGAAAAGGGGGGGGGGGGGGGGGGGGGGGGCAAAACACATACCTTGCCCCCCCACTCTGAGAGCTGGGGGGGGGGGGGCAAGTGCTCCCCTTGCCCCCCCGGTTGGTACGCCCATGGCGCGGCAAAACTTCATTTGTTCTTGAGGTGGAAACGAGTATAGGGCATTTTCACATGACGTCAATCTGCCATTTTGTTGCTTTTCTTTTTAATACAAATGTATTAATTTGAAGGATTAAATCGTAACCTATTGAGGAGATGTTAGCGTGGTAAGACTCATAAGCTTCTGTGCTCTACGCATTTGAGGTGTCATGTAAATCCTTGGATTGTTCGCCTTCGGCACATGCCGGACAGGTCACAACAGCTAAATGGTGGACAAAATATGACCTTTTCATCATGGCGTAATTAGGGGCGTCGCAAACCGGTGGAGGTTCGAGTTCGACCAGGTTCGACTTTTTCAAACTTCTTGTGAAAAGTTCGACAAAGGTTCGGCTCAGGTTCGACTGCTATGCGCATGCGCGACAGGCTGGCCAGTTGGCTTCGGACTGGATGGTGATGGCTAAGGGATGAATTAAGGGCAGCACTCATTGGTTATTTCAGTTAATACAGTACAAAAAATGAAGTTATTATCTTCTTCAGTGATTAAAATTAGTTTATTTTAATTGCAACTGTTCATAAAAATAAAAATTACCCCTAGCATAAAAAAAATATTCTCCAAACCTAGACTTGCTTGTCTCAATGTCTGGCCAGACTGTCCACAAAGTCGAACTGGTCAAATCTGGTCAAAAGTTTGAAGCTACGTTATGCTCAAAGGTTCGTCGAACCGGTTCGAACCAGTTCAACCCCAAAAGTTCGTCCTAAAAATCCGGTTCGTCAAAAGTTCGCGACACCCCTATCAGTGATCATGGCCCTCGAGATCCGAAGCGTTTTCATAGCAGTAGGTACTTGACTGGCAGATAGAGGATGCTGGCGCGCTCCCCGCCATTGGGTGGCATAAATTTGGTTAGTTTCAGTTTCAGTGCACTTGCGGCTGTGTTTATGTTTTATGTCATTTTCACCTTATTTTCTGATACAAATGCGCCCGTTATACAGTCGAATCTTGTTAATTCAAACTTGAGGGGGACTGAAAATTTGTTTTAATAAAGCAAAGTTTGAATTAACGGGAGTTTCCTCCCACAGAGACGCATAGGATGGGACCGGCATGCTAGTTTGAATTATCCACAAGATTGAATTAAGAAAGTTTGAATTAACGAGATTCGACTGTATCATATAACCAATAAAACAGCGGTATTGAGCCACTTCGAGAACCACGAAGTTGCTTCGAGTCATGATCACGGAATTTTAACGAACACTTTATAATGCATACGATCATGTTCGTCGCTGGTTTCGGTCAGGTTCGGCGGCGAAACGACTATGATGCACAAGGAGGATTCCACTCGTCTACGGCCATACCTACTAACAGTAGTTTCCAGAAAAATTACCAAATAAAGAGACTCCTACGTAAGCGTCAGGGGCGGATTCAGAAAGGGGGTCCGGATGTCCTGATCCCCCTCTTGAATTCTACATCTGTAAAAATTTAGGGCGTGGAAACGGCAAGGGGAAGGGGGCCTTGAACATATGATACGCTGACCAACACCTGACCCCCCCCTCAAGAAATACCTGCGTCCGCCCCTGGTAGGTGTATAGTAAAAAATGCAGGTCCACAACCTGATTAACAACCTGCTGGATCGCAAAAAACACAGGAAGGCGCATGTTCACAGCTCAATGACGGATTTTCGCGGCCACCAGCTTTTTGTGAACTTTAGAGACTGGAGATGTCTCCTATAATAATGCAGATAATCTAAAAAAAGAAGTGATATTGTCTTGTGTTTTCTTGAAAGAAATTAAGCACTCAATAAATATTTCATGGTCCATCCTATGTCGGGTGCGAAATTTATTTAGCTATCAGCCCTGCTGAAGTATCTATTAACAGCATTTCCCAACATTGGCGTTAGAAAGTAAAACTTTGCCAAGTAAAATTAAAGGGCACCAGAGAAGTGACCTCCCGTAAGTTTGGCTGAAGGCGAGTACTACCGTAGACACCACTTCATGAACCTGTGTAGACAGATATTCATTGAAACTGATGCGATTTGGAATCAACAACATTGAACTTGGCTGGTATTCATGAAGATGGCTTCTTTTCGGCATCCCATTATGGGAGCCCTAGGCACTCTCAAGCTGCCTGCGACAGATTTTACCGAGGTAAAATAATGGGACGTTTGTGATGAAATAATTTTAAAGGGGCACTTCAACGAAATTTGAAATATACCCGCCATGTTCAGAAATGGGCTGAATATGATCAACAATATCCGTAAATGACTATTGCACGTTTGTACGTTGAGCCTGGATGGCTGTATTTTTCATTATAAATCGCCCACTCTGGCAAGCACTCGGAGAGCAGCCAGCAAAGAACATGTGACATCCGCCGCAATCGTGACGTGGTTCGTCTCGGGACGAGCTAAGCTGTGATGAGGCTGACATCAGGGGGATGTCCTAGCCGTTCCACCTGCCGAAGCGGCCAAAGCACACCAGCGATTGGGCCACCGCTATGAACCCAAAGCCACTTTTGTACGAATTGTGATTGACGGGTTAATCTTCAATAATCTTGTATAGGGACAATACCGACGTCTGCGACACAGAAAAAAGTGTCTTGGGGAGAGGGGAGTTCCTCCTTCAGCTCCTCTCTCGTCGTGGCCGGAGGCGAGACAGTTACCGTCACTACCTGTTAAGGTTCCTAGACGGGCATTACAAACGAGGCGTTTGCGACATCCACCAGGTGCTCTTTGCTCATCATTTAATTTGTTTTAAAATTTCTTTTCGTGTCTTTTTTAACAAGAGATTGGTGTGTCTGATGTGATACTGCTCCCTTGAACACGAATAGACAAGGGATAAGCACAGAAATTTCGTTGCAATATCCCTTTAAAACACTCGAATGACTGCAGATATGGGACGGAGCAAAGTGTAGTTTCTTTAGAATCACAAATCAACAAAATCTTTATTCCGCGAAAACATTTAAGAATGTCTAACACATTTAGGTGTATTATCGTGAACAAACGAATCGCCCGATATGGACGTTACCATTATCCCGAGTATCATATAAAATGTGTGAGACCTAATTGTTTGTTACCCATATTCAAAAACAGCTATTTTAAATTTGTTACAAAGGCAAAGTAGGAAATTTTCAGGAAACACAGATAGCTTTATATACTCAGTATTTTACACTGCGCTACTTATTTCGACTATTCCGCCACTTTCACTGAGCAAATTTTAGTTGTTGCAAATAATTCAGCTCAATGTGCGCCAGGACCAACGCCGATTCCTGTGCCTTCTCACATGTATCCGGTACGCCGACGTTGAAAATGGTCAAAATGTTTTACAAAATTAACTGCAGAAGTCGTTGTGCACATAATGATGGCATGCAATTAAGTTGTAAATGTAAGCGTCAAGCTGCACGTTACACGATAAGGCGAGAAATGTGACGAAAAACAAGAATGTAATGCTTCGCCAAGGCGCAGAGGGGAGAGTGGCACGACAAGTTGAAGCTACCTTATGGCGGCCGCATCACAATTTTAAGATGGCAGCGCCCATGCGACGAAGGCTGAAAAGGTCTATTGTCTTGGAGAGCTCTCGAGATTGATTTCCAGACCAAGTAGTGTTTTTAGCACACCATCTTAGGTGGAAGTCAATTTATTGTTGTTTTGTGAGTTATTCCATAACACAGCTGAAAATGCAGATGTTACAGATCAGAGAAGAGACAAATAGATTCAAGAAAAGAAAAGCTTTATTAAAAGGATATTTTTACAGGGATTTCTACTGGAAAATAAAAGCTGTAGATTTTGAGGGATCGGGTTCTCGTACTACCTTGTTTATAGTATTTTCACAAAAAAATGCACATGCCCACGCTGCCGTTCAACCCACAGCCCAATAACAACCGCATGCCGTGGTTTAAAAAAAAAAGCATAAATAAAAGAAAAAACATGCAATAGAAGGCTAAATTGCATAACCATGCTGATAAACCTGCTCATTGCTTTGGCCCATAGACATAAGACCGAGCAAAAAATAAATAAACAAATTTAGTTGACATACAAAAAGCTTTCAAAAGTTCTGATGCACTCTTAAACAATGTTGCAGATTGATGTCGCAGTTCCTTGAAGAAGCTCGTGGCAACTATACGAGATGCAGTGGCAATCACACAGACAGCCCTGTGGCTAACTTCGTGAGGCAGATACTGCAACACAAACGGAGAACAAACCCGAAACAAACATTGTTTTGCGTTTATTCCCCGTTGGTAGTGTACTTTCAAGTCATGACGTTAGTGACTACAAGAATTGACTCTTATCGAGAGCCCAATCATTATTTTAAGCATATCACAAAAGAACAAAGTCTAACGAAATTGAACCGGATTTTAATTTAGTAATTAGAACTGTTCCCAACTTCCGCGAGAAAGAAAGAAAGAAAAAAAAAGCAGGGTTGATGTGGCAGTTTTTTTGGCAAAGCACCGACGGTAACTACGAGACTTCTCCAACAAAAAGGTGTTTGTTTAGGCGCCGCTCAGAAACGAAGTGTGGGTGGCAGGATACGTTATCCGAGCCTATCTTGCACAAAGTCGGGTCCTCAACCGGAGCTGGAGACCGCCAGCTTCTTGAGGTGCTCCATAAAGACCTGGAGGCTGACGTCGTCAGTCAGTACCGGGGACCCACCGGTGTCCTGCTGACCCCAGTTGTAGGCATTGTTGTGGGTAACTGAAGGGTTGACCTTGGACAGCAAAAACCTCGCCTGCGAGCCACCCTGGTCGCAGACAATGTACCTGAAAGGGAGGACAGAAAGAAAAACAAAACTGAAGTTTCGATTATGATTTCAGAAGGGGACACTATCAGCTCAGAAGTCGCTGCCCCATAAAACAATGGCAAGCAGGAAAACTTTGAAACTTCGTCCCCAGAAAATTCGAATTTCCAAACATTGCCGGCTCCTGCTTCCCCGAATTCTCGTTCACACAAACGAAATAAGAAAGCTGGGCAAGATATTTTCGGATTGTCGGATTCCTCTCTGGAAAATTGATAGGCTTAACACTGGGAGCTGGTTCAGCCCAGCATCTACCGTAAAATAATGTGGAAGTGCCCACTTTGTTCAAGCGCCCACAAGTAACATTTCCCAAAACTTGAGAATTTTGAATACATTAAGCGTCCGATTTGACCAGACAAGCACCCATGTCTAGATTAACCCAGTTTTCAGTGAAAGTAGAATGGGTGCTCCCCCTCTATTTTACGGTAATATTTTTGTGAACTTTACACAAAAAGCCAAGTTTTGCAGCCAGTGTTTTGCACTCATTACAAGGGGCTAGACTATTATTATGCCCCCGTGTTTCACCAAGTATAGACCGACACGCGGGCTCGACGTCACGGAGCTGTGGTGGCGCTGTGATCGCGCCGGAGCCGGGGGGTGTGGGCAAAAGCGCGCACGTTTCGCATGGGCGTCATAGCATTTCAGCATGCCGCGAAGCTGCGTTGCCGTTAATTGCACCAAAATACAGAAAAAAAGTACCGGGGTGGGTTTCCACAAGTTCCCGGCAGACTTTGAAACGCATAGAAGGTGGATAATATCCGTGGATCGAAAAGAATGGTCGCCTCGCGCGAATGACCGTTTGTGCGGCAAGCACTTGAAGGCAAGTGCGGCTTCCATTTCAACCTCCTTCCCGAGGCTTGCTTATGTGCAGGGAGACCGTTGTCTGATCGAGACCACCCGGATTTTGTTCCCATGGTGTGTGCACACAAAGCATCGGCCAAGCGCTCGTTGGAGGCTCGCTAAGCAGGTGCTACCCAGCAGGAGGGGATCGGCAACAGAACGTCAGTGTTTAGGAGTTACTGAAAAAAAAGTAACGAAATACGTTACTCGTTACTTGCAAATAAAACGTACGCGTTACTGAGCTACATTAGCTAAAAATAAAAGGAATGCGTTACTACTACCGATAAAAAGTAACGCAAGTTACTTCTGCGTTACTTTTTAAATTATGATTTAACACATTTTACGGTTTTGACGATACAGGTATGCATAAGCTCAAATATCAAGAAACATTCTTCTCATGCAGAAACTGAACATAATTACTTTATCTCTTTTTACGGTTTCACCTAAATACTCACGAGAATAAACGCAAAGGAAAACATGGCTTGACGCCTAAAACACGGAGAAAATGCAAGTGTAATTTCTTTAAGACTTGGGAAGTAGTAAAGATTAACGTAACCACGTTACTTGAAATAGTAACGTAAGTATGTCACCCGTTACTGTGTCGAAGACGTAAAGTGTAGGTTACTACGTTACTGAAAAAAGTAACGCGTTACCGGCAACGCCGTTACTTGAAACGTGTTACCGCCAAGACTGCAGAGCGGACAAAGCGTTACTGCTTGTCATGCCTTGTGGTCATGAAGGTAAGAAAAATATCATATTTTGACTTCAAGACGCTGTGCGTATTTATTTAATTAATAAATACAGTTCCGCAGACCCACAGTCTGCTGATCCCGCCGGCAGTGCGGAAACCGACTCGAAGTAATCGTAGGCCTCGGGAGACTTGTACGCCTGCACCGTGTCGGCCGTGAACTGGCTTGGCGAAAAAAAACAAAAAAAACTAAATGAACGACGACGTAAGCCGTCGACTTCGGTGGCAGCAACTTCATGTCAGAACTCCAGCAGGCCTGTTTACGGCGTACGGATCCTCGTAGGCAACGCCGTACACGCACAGTTTGTTTCGATACCGGTGCCATTCATGCTCGGGTAGCGAGCTCAAATAGTCGGGCATAGCCTACGACATATGTTGTGAGAAAATACGACGCAGAAATAAAGCTAAAAGCGTCCCTAAAACATCAACAACGAGCGCACGCCACACAACGCAATGGCGAAAACACGGAACGCCGGGCCGCTTTTGCCCACATAGCTACCGCGCATGCGCGGCCTTCCGGCCGTGTTGGTAAACAGAGCCGCTCCGCGTGTCGGTCTATAGACATTTTCCACAGGGGCGCCGCCATCTTGAATTGTCGTCACTTCCAGTATGGGCGACGACAAAATAGTAAAACGTTTCAACCTGTAACCAATAAAAAAATAGAGGGGAGCCAAAACGAGAATGTGTAACGGTTAGGCTTATATCCCAAATGTCTTCTTTTGGCGTGGCGACGGCCAAGTAATGCTTTCGCCCATACTGGAAGTGACGACAATTCAAGATGACGGCGCCCTTGTGGAAAAGGTCTATATGACATTACCTAAAAAATAAATCCTAAGAAAACTTTTAAAAGTTTTACTAACAATATATGGGTAAAAACTCTACAATAAAAGCAATCTAGTCAAGTGTTTGGGAATAATAGAAGTCAAATATTTTCAATTAAGAATTACATGAGTGCAAGCAACTGGTATGCCTTCTTTAACATGAAAGGGGAGGCCCAATAGAAAAGCTAACGTGAAAGAGGAGGCATGACGTAGAAATAGAAAGATTACTAAAGACACGTGCAAACCTAGGTGCTTTCTACACAATATGCTGTCAGTAAGCTGTTCAGACTACTGGCCTTTTTGACTCGGGCAACACAGTACACTGAAAATGCCCTCAAACCGAAGTGAGCCACTCAACTGCTCCAACTCGGCAGTGATATGAATATAAGCAAATGCAGCAATTTTGAGTTGCAAGAATTATTGCATCCCAATGTGCGACGAATCGCAACAATTAAGAGGCACAACTTATAAGGGCTATAGAGGAGCTACAAAAACTTCCTTGATTTCATCAACGGACACCAGCTTTGCCAAAGGTAGGGCTGACCATTATCTGCAATGCAAAAATACTTACTGACGAAGAAGAAAAGTGTGCATCCAATATCTCTCACATGCAGTGAAATGCTGCACAAGTTTTGGTAACAGTCCGAATTACTAGTGTCTGACTGCCCGCAAAAAACTTCAAGTGCATATTATTTTTTTTTTTTCGTCATCAGGTATGTTTGGCAATGTTCGGGCATCGTCAACAATGCCCAAAGTCACTTCTGACAAATACGGAAGGTGGCGTTAGTTGATCTGATTGAGGAGGTCTTTGTCTGCACACGGTACCCATACAATGTGCCGACACCATAATATGGTACTACGTACTATCCCAAAAGATAGCCCACCTAAAATTATGAGAAAATAAGGAGTGGGCTAACTTTTGGTGTGCAATCAAGAAAAGTCTTAAAAAATGCAATTTTAAGATCATCTGTCTCTGCCAAACTTGTTATGGTGGTGGGGCAATATAAAGCAAAGATGACTGTACTTGCCAGTCAGCAATGTTCGCTTATATCCTGCCATAGCTAACTAGACGCATTTACGCCGAGGTCATCATTGATCCCAACACTGCGATTATTAGGAGTGAGCTATCGTTTGGTGTTAAAAAAGAAATAGCAAATCAAGCCAACAATAAGGGAGGGTTATCTCTCGGGGGTGGGACATCTCTCGGGATTTTACGGTAGATGCAAACCTTATGGCCTCCACATAGTACATACAGATGACAGTTCTAAATAAAGTACCGGGTGTTTGGAAGGAAAGAGAACCATGTTGTTCTCACCACAGAATTAGACTATGCATTGCCGAATTTCCAGTCTCTGCCTAAATGTAGTGCTAGCAGTTGGGAGATGATGACAAATTTCCAGAACTTGCCGTTATTCAATTAAAGAGTTGTAAACAGTTTTCAGAAATCTAAAATGAGGAAATGGGGCCCGTTACCTTTAGCAGATGCTATTTAAAGTTCATGTATTTGCAGTCTCCATTAGCTGCCATTTCCTCATTAAATATTTCCGAAAATCACTTCGACCTTCTGAACCTGTTCTCAGTCAGGCAACAGTAAGTTACCTGACGGAGACCATGCGTCTGCGATGCATAGTTAATTTTCGCAGCGAGAAAAATGCACTTCTCTTTTCTCACAAACACACAGTAGTAGTATGCTATTTGTTCCACCTCTTAAAGTCTTGGGGCGTTCCGCACGCCCCCCCATACCTTGGCATCGGGAACCGCGTCTGGAGAATCTCTTGGGCGTCGTCTTCAGGGGCCTGCAGCAGCTGCCTGAAGTTCTCGTGCTCGGGGTTGTTCTGGTAGCCAGCCTTCCTCCACTGGGCAATGGTCTCTCCGTGGAAGATGACAATGTGGAAAAACGTGTCCATGAGGAGAATGCGATCCGGCTGGATGCTGCTGGTGTCCAACAGGACAGGCTCCGGCGGACCGCTGAACGAGTAGGCGTACAGGATGGGCTGGATCATGATCAGCGACTGCGTCAGGTCCTCCCGGTTCAGCATGTGCCGGTAATAGGATGTTTCGTCGGGACTGTTGTTGAACACCTGTGCAGAAGAAGGCGAGAGTTTGAGAATTTAAGCTGACAAAGACGTCGACTATTTTTGCCATACAGTGATAGTATCGCTACTGTGGCTCTAGATCAAGTTTCCGGCTTCCGTGTTCGATGTCCTGTACTGCCCATGCATTGGAAACGGTTGTGAAGTGGCAATGAAGTACTATGTCACAAAAGTGGATGGCTAATGCTATCACAATTGTGGTAGTTGGTGGTAGAAGTGCCAGCAAAAAAGGCAAGTGGACCTGATTGTTACTGTTGTTGCTGCGTCTCAACTCGTGGCTGCTTTAGTTTGTCAAATGACAAGCGGCAGAGTAAGATGCAGCAGAAAAGGCATTTGTTGTGTTCACCTCTGTCGCAAAGCAGACATCAAGGGACCAAAAATTAAGGTATGAAAAACAGATCAGCGGTAGATGTGTTTCAGGTATTATAATTGTAATATCACCAAAAAAATTTTCAAAATTCCACAACAAAGAATTAATTCTGTGAGAAAAGGTAACAAATCAAATGAAAGGCTGGTGGGGATGTGAACCCCCGTCCACAGGGGTACTTTAAAGGCTCTTAGATTGGAGGCAATTAAAGAATTTGCAGATAAACTCACGTTCATAGTGCTTTATGTTGCACACACTGGTTCACCAGTTCTTATGTTACCTTTAACTGGAAGAGCTGATGACTGTGACAAAGGGGTTATCCTATGTCATCTTTCTCTTTGGCTACTACAATGAGTGAGTTGGTGTTTGACATACACATTGCTTGTTATAACTAGAGCAAGGGTCTGCAAACATTTTGGCTCAGGGGCTGGATTGCGGACCTGTCGAGGTCTCACGGGCCGGACAAAAAAATTAAGACAACAGAAATGAGGAAATACTAAGCAAGCCCTTATTAGGCATTGAAATACAAAATAAAAAAATAAACTAGAGCAAAAAGTCAAAAATGAATGTAAGGTGGGAATACATGCCTACACTTTATTTTTAAATGTAATTTGTAGCTAATAATGACACTGCAACATATTCCAAATAATAAATCAAAGAGCGTGGGAACTATGGCATATTCAGACAAGGCAGAGGATATGAGACCGGTACATCTAATGCTGACAATGAGCGTGAATTTTGACGCGGGAGACTAAGCCCGATATACATGAGAATGCAGAGGAATTTTGTCCTAGTTACACAAACATAAAGCGGGGAACTACAAATCGTGATGTTGGTGACGACAATGTACAAAAAATATAGCGAGAGACCCCTGTTTTGATGCACCTGTTTTTTTTCATTCTTTTCTATGTTTTCGTTAGCGCTTTTGGAGTGTGTTGCGACGTTGCTTTTGTTTCTTGTGTGCGCTTATTTTGGTGTTTGTAGCAGCGGGCCATGGGTCGAGCGTTCCTGGAAAGACCGCACCATTCACGAGCTGGGATTTGCAGACCCCTGGACTAGAGGATCTCATGCAGCTCAGGTAAGGGAACTAAAGTTGATTCTGAGATTGTCTTATTATGGCACAAACTCAAGAGTTCGACCAGTTTGCGCTATAAAAGGACAAATTCAAAATCCACTTTAGGGATTTCCCCAACCCAGATTCCTGGTCAGTGGCTGTGTGGCCATGAGACTACAGAAAAATTCCCATATATCCTCAATTGTAAGTTGGCCCACTATTCTCCCAAATGCAAGATCGGTTTCTATTTGCTGTACAAGTGCAGGCTTACTTGTGTCCGCTAAGCATCCCATGGTGTAAATGGGTCTACAATATTATTTAAACACTCCAGTGTAGATTTGTAATCCTGGTAATTTATCTCTAGGGTAAGTTGCTGCTGAACATTTAATTCTGTGCAACGGCTTGGTTAGTATGAGATTGTCTGAAATATTATAAAGTACCATTATATGCCAAGAGATAGCTCAGCTGTTTTTCTGTTACTTTCTCTTCTTAAAAGATACTAAAAGATAGCCCCTTCTGAGAAAATGACATTGTCCGAGTTCAGATAATTTGTGAAATGGGGTAAACAATACACACTTTGACAAAAAAAAATGTCTGTTTCCTTGAAGTTCAGAAGGCAAGTGAATGTACAAATTTCTTCCCTAGTCTCACAGAAACAAAAAAATACTCGTAGCATGGTTTCTGGTGGCTGATGTAGGCACGAGTGGACAGAGGAACCAGTTCAAGCATTTTTCTCCAGTTTTTTACCAGCCGTGCACCAAAAGTTAGCCCAACCATCAGTTGGTTGGGCTAATATTTGGTAGGGTTGGGCTTGGGACAGTATGGTATGTAGGGCTTTTGCCAAAATAGAGGCATAAAAACAATAATGAAGCGTTGTCCAGTACACTGCAAATAAGAGTGAATGTAATGAAGTTCGAAAATCGCTTTCTTGACAGCCGTTTGGAAGCAAAGAACCGAAATAGGGCGATTCCATGCCAGATACACTCCGACAAGAAGCTCGGACAGCTCACCTGGAGAAACTGGGACCTCCTTAAGTGGAACATGAATTGCGGGTAGAGGGAAAAGTTCTCAGCATAACGGAACGAGCTGGGGTCATCCTTGGCATACTCCCCAAACTTCTGGCACAACTTGATGAGGGTCCGGTCGATGAAGCGTAAGACGTCGGAGCCGTCGTCGTCGCCCTGAGCCTTGAAGCAGGCCAGCCGTGCCATCAGCACCGCTGCCGCTTCCTGGTCAAACCCGGCCGAGATGTGGTGCAGATTGGCCGAAGCGTCGGCCCAGTTCCGAGCCACCGTGGTGACGCGCACCCTCTTCTGGCCGCTGGGGTGCTGGTACTGCATGATGAACTGGAGGCAGCCCCGTCCACCCTGCGGAATCGGGGCGTTGTGCTGGTTGGCAACCTCCAGGAAGACTGCCACCGTCGTGCTCGGGCTCAGTGAGCACAGCTTCCATTGGCAAGTGCCGCCCATGCCGGTCTCCGTGTCCGAGACGCTGGAGCTCTTTACGTTAGTTGAGATGCACGGTCCGATGGCGCCAGCCACCTTGAGCTCGCGCGAGGCCTTGACTTCAAGCAACGCATTGAAGCCCATCCGGAACTCCCCACGCGCGTCCTTGGCGAAGACGCGCTGGAACGTCTGCTTAAAGAGGGACGAGTTGAAGGAGTCCCCCATGACAACATGACCGCCTGTCATGTTGGGGCAGTACTTCATCTCATGCAGACCGGTCTGGTCGAGCGCGCAAGAGTAGATGTCGACGGCATGTCCATTGACGGACGCCCGGTGGGCGAGGGCTTCGTAGTGCTTAATGGCGCGCCTCATGTTCTTGCAGTTGTCCTTGGAGATGTCATGGTGAGAGCGGATGGTGTACTTTAGCTCGTCTCCAACAATCATGCCGGGGCCTTGCGTGCACGGCCCGCCGGTGAACAACATGATGCGTGCGCCAGTATTTGGGTAGCTGCACTCCAGAAGCCCAACAGCAATGGAAAGTGCAACTCCCGTTGACCTGAGGGGACGCTTACCCTGCGAGACTGGCCAGGGGTCGCGTTGGAGGCTGTCGAGGAGGTCAGTGAGGCTCATGTCACACTTGTGGACCGGCTGGAGGAACCGGCTCGCCGGAGGCGCTGACTGCTGTTGCATTCGTGGTTGCTGCTGCTGGGGCTGAGGGCCCTGCGGCTGCTGGGAGAACTTGCCGACCCCCAGCATGTCCTGAATCTGCTTGGCGGCCAGGTCCTTGGTACCTCGGAACACGTAGCTCTTGGAGCAGCCGTCGCTGGCGAGCTCGTGCACTTGTACCATCTTACCGAAAGTGATGAGACCGATCAGAGCATTAGCCGGGAGGAGTGACAGCGACATTTGGAGAGACTCCTTCAGCGCCGTCAGCTCGTCGTCGTCGATGCAGGTGTCCACGACGAAGAGGAAGACGGGCGGCACGCAGGCCGCCCTCATGATCGTGTACTCGATGGTCGAGAACTGCGGGATCAGCTCGGCGGGCTGGTGCTGCTCCGAGATGGAGGCGTACTGGGGCGGGAACGGGTTACGCTGGAAACAGAAGTTGCACGCCCAGAGTTTGGCTCGGTAGTCTACCTGACAAAGCGGGTTCAGGATGGCCCGACAGGTCTGTCTGGTGCACAGCACCGGATCGTACTGGATCGGCGGCAGGTCGGGCCGCTCTTTGAGAGGGCTGAACAGGCAGCCGAGGGGAATAACCAGGCGAGTCGCCTCCAGCCGGCTTGACGGCCACACGTTCCAGCTGAACCGAATCCCGTCGCGGTCTTCATTTTTCTGTATAAAGTCCTGGTAGGTCTGGTATGTCGCCATGTCGGTGAATTCGCCGACACCGCGTTATGCCACGTAATTGCACACACAGAGCGAACCGCTTCTTCCCCGAGGAAAAGTGTCACGCAAAAATTCCAGTGCTGCCACCTGGAAGCGGTTCTTCTTGCTGTGGTGGCCAGGCGGTCGTACTTTTTCTACCTAAAGTGGCGAACACAAAGTCATTTCTCCCGTAACAGTCACATATTACAACAACAGTACCTTTATTGCCGTGTTTTCACACTGGCGCATAAATTAAATAGTTAAATTTATTATTATATACAAGTGACAACGCTAGAAAGTATTCTTGTGATTTAATGCGTTATCAGTTATGAGCTACTTTCACTAGATGGCACAAAAAATCTCCTAATCTAAAGTTTTGACTATTTTTATTTTTACTCTAGCATTTTCGTACGTCAGTGAGCCGTGCGCGTCATGCCAGTGCCAGTGCTACCCAGTCCTATAAAAGTTACGTCACGCGCGTCGTCGTTTGTTGTCTGCTTAAACTTTTGACCTCGTATTCACGTGCGTTCCTGCGGCGACTGCAGCGCGCATTATAATATACTCCAAGTAGAGCACGGTTCCAGCGAAATACACCAGTTCAGGTAATATCCCGAATTCTGCGAACTTTTTCTTCTCTTTGAAACTCGTTCGCCGTGCTGGTATAATCTCACGTGGTCTCGGCCTTGGTCGTCAAGTTGTTATCAAGGGCATCTTCGCCCGTCTCTGAAAACAATTAAATGGCCATCTTGGGTAGTCTCGTTCTCTCTCGTGAGCAAAAACTTGTTTGTAGGCGGGAAAACACGACTGACCCTACTCTTTTATTTCTCTCTTGTGTGTGTGTGTCTGCACTCCAGGGAAATGGATGTCACAACCCTCTCGACGGTATTTTTATTCGCCCTGGCTGGTCACTGCATGGCGAGTGACACCGACTTCACAGAAAAAGACGTAAGAGTGCAGGCGTCGTCCTGTCTATTTTCTCTCCCTTCTACGTTTTGATATTTCTTCTCTACCCCAGTCTCAGGTTAATGCAACATGGTTAACCGAATACACGGCGTGCCTAGATTCTACATATCACAAGCGAAAACCGGGACCGGAGTCGAGTCTTTACGGCCATGTAAGTTTGCATCCATCGCATTCTCAAAAAAACTATGTAAACTCTTTTTGTATGCTTATTATCATTTTTATTTTTTTGCTTAGTCTTTTTGTGTAAAATTTCATGAACTTAACCTTTCAGTCGTCGGCATATTCGCCGAACAGCAAAATAATAAGCGTAATCGTTGGAGTGGGGTGTAATTTCTTATTTTACTCCCTCTAATCTGATTCGATGCACTCTTTTTGAAAGTAGAGTTGGTGCGGGGCGGTAATCGCTCGCTTAATTCCCCCATCCAGTGCACACCGTGGAAAAACGAGGCATGCTGCACGGAAAACACCACTCGGGACGTTCATCACACCGCCATGTACGGATTTTCCTTAGACTTTTGCGAAGAACAAACCGGACAAAAAATGAGGGATGTTTGCAAGAAGCACTTTCACAGAGATCTCTGCTTCTACGAGTGCGAGCCTAACATTGGCCCATGGGTCGTTAAGGTATGTTCGTGGACCTTCACTGTTTCATATATTTGCTTAGGTGAAGTTGATGCCCAGTGGCATCAACTTAAAGTTTCGGCAGTTAGGCGCTAACCCCCAGCTTCACTAATTCATAGGCTGCGGTCTCTGTATTGTCCACGCTACCACGTGGGTATTATTAACCTTGAAGGTATAGGAAAGGCACCAGGCCACTAAGAAACGCTTACATTGGGGGCAATACCGTTACAGCCGATTTTTTTTCAGTGTGTTGTGACACCTCATTTGTATTACACCGGCTCTTAATTGTGTAAAAACTAGTTTTGACACAGGAAATAGTTTTGCCAAATGCAATGCTATTTTGATTGTTTGTCTTTTTTCGATTATCGTTCATTCCGTCCGACTCGCCTGCACCTTTGCATTAATTGTATTAACATCGTAAAGTGATATTTTTCATTTCATCTGCACTTTTTTCTTTTTCTTTTTTTTTTTTTTTTGGTGCTTTTTGGGTGTATGCCACGGCATCCAGAATGTTGCGCCAAGAATATTTTTGAGTAAATTGCAGTATAGGATAAATTTTGCACATGCATGAATTTCTGAATAAAATAAAATAATGGTGTTTTACCTTACCACTGGGGAACAAGAAACAAAAGTTTCGTCCGCTCAGCTAAACATGTATTTAAAATCGTTTTTGCAGGTGAAGCGGAAGCTTTCAAGGGAAAGATTTTTTGAAGCGCCGCTTTGTGAAAGCGATTGCAACACCTGGTGGCAAGACTGCAGGTTTGAATACGCTTGCACCCCGAACTGGCCCCGGGGATTTAAGTTTGGTGGCGGTAAGTCCCAAAACTGCACTCGGCATCAAGCTTGCTCTCTGACCTACTCCTTTTTGTTTGTTGTGCAGGTAAAAACAGCTGTCCAAAAGATTCCAAGTGTGTGCCGTTTCATGAAATGTACAAAAATGCATCCGACTTCTGTTCTCAGGTAGGGCCTCTTCGTGCGTTGATTGGCGGATACTGTACAGTAGCGGACGATATGCGAAAACTGCCCGACGAGCGCATAGCTCGGAAGACCTCCGATGCTATCTAACGTGTAAAACGGAAGAAAAAAAGGCTGAGTTGTCATCTAGGTTATTGTGTTAACGAGCTGCATTTCAGCTGTTGTTCCATTTTTCTAGTTACTCCCCCCTTGGTTGGTAAATATTTTTGGGGTCAACACTGATAGTGGTAGTGCTCGGTAAAATACAATTAAAACCGCGTATCGTCATCTATCTCGCGGACTTCTTATCAAATGCCCTGAAACTGATAAATCAACCTGATGACCCAGTTCGGCGCTGAAATCGGCATGAAGTCGGCGACAGCTAGTCGTGTGGGGTGGGATGGCAAAATTGTAACAGCCCTGAAACCTCGTTTATTGTTTAGGTTTCTACTGATACATAGCACTGCAGTGTTTTTCATGAGTAGGTGGCTGTGGTTTCATAAGCAAAAAGCAGTGACTATTTCGACGTAAAGCGCCAAAATGACTAAAATTATTGTGACGTTTGGGAAGTCACTTCCGTGGAGCGTAAATAGTTCCTAAATTTCTTTGTCCCATGTCAAAATGGTTGCTTTATGTTGACGTCGGGTGGATGGACAGCCACGTGTCATTGTGTTTCATGCCTAAGGAGCTTTGGTTATTCTATTGTGCCTTCATGTGCGCTTTGCTTAGGATGATGACATCTATATGATCTAACCATTTTGTTCCAATCGTTTTTTTGTTTTTTTTTCTTCTGAAGCGCGTGGAAGAGTGTATATGCACCCGTTCGTGGCACTAACTATGCTACGGCAACATGTTCGCGGCGATTTTTTTTTTTTTTTTTGTACTTGTGAGCGCGTGCTTTTAACATCGGGGGGCGGAATCACCCTAAACAGGGCATTGAGCCACCCTGGGTTATTCAGCATCTGTGTGCTCGACGTGGCTCGACAGTGTAACTATAGGGCCTCAACGTCCTTCTGTTTAGGGTGATGCCACCCTTTGTAGTACCCGATGCCGACAGCACGCGCTCACGGGTAAAATACAAAGGAGTCGACGAAAACAAAATGTCGCCATAGCACAGTCAGCGCCACAAACGCGTACAGGAACACGCGCTTAAGAACAAAAAAAAAAAAAGATAAATAAATAAACGTGTTGGACAAAATGGTTAGATGTCTCCAGCTTAAGCAAAGCGGCCATGAAGAAGTGTAACATCTCGTACGTGACACGGGCGGCGGCAACCTGTGCTCGCGCGTCTTTTAGGCACGCGCCAATCTACACCAAAGACAAGCCGGATATCTAGGGTGCCGTGTTTTCGGATAAATTCGAAAAACACTCGCCGGTAAGTTTCCTGTCAATTCGAATTTATCCGAAAAACTCCGAATTTCGAAGTCACAACGACAAAATAAACAAAAAAAAAACCGAGTGTTACGACTAAACTTTATAAGAGCACAAGTTCAGTGGTCCCGATGATATTCCACTTCAGTTTCCCTTTGACATCTAGAACTAGGTTTTGCTGTCGGTTTACCGGCCTCCATGTTTCAATGGGCGTTTATTTTTGGCTGAGCTTGATTCAGTGCTGACTTCACTCTCTTATGAAGATCTTGTCTGTATGATAGGGGATATTAATATTAACACACTTCGCCCGACTTTAGCAGTAGTCGGGGGCTATCTTGATGTTCTATCTAAATGGGGACTGCAAAATACTATTCGCGAGCCTACCCGTGAAGAGTTTTTATCGGGGCAGCTAACCGTATCTTGCATCGACCACGTAAATATTCGGGCCCTAAACTTAGCTACTCAGTCAGCGATTGTGGAAAAAAAACTTGCTGATCATTATTTTGTTTGTTGCTCGATAATGAAGCAATCTGATCTACCGGCCTCAGCCACGGATAAGAGGGAAGTTTCAATAGTTGACCCCCGAATTTTCGATAAACTTGTTGCGCAGCATGACTGGAACACTTTTTTGCTTACCGTCTCGCCTGCTGACAGTTATGAACAGCTTGTTACCCAACTAAACCGTTTTAGGCAAGCAGCTACGCGCATTGTAAAAATCAAGCAACGGAACTTAAACCACAAATGGATGTCTTCTGAAATTTTGGCTGCAATTAAGGAAAAGGACCTTCTATGGTCCCAGTTAAAGCGCTACAAGATGTGTAGAAATAGGGCCAATGCAATGATTCGTCGCGCTAAACGATTTTACCTTCGTAGCAAATTTAACGAGGCTCGTACCGACCCCAAAAAAACATGGTCGTTAATCAATGATGTTAGAGGAACAAACACAAAGGCTACAAGCCATAGCAATTATCGCTCCCTTTTATCATCAGGGGGACAGAGTATCGCCAATGATTTTAACCATCTTTTTTCTAAAGTATCGGGTACCGCGAGGCAACACACGAACTCGTGTACATTACGCAATAGCGTTTTGGAATCTGCTTATTTACCCTTCTTGGACGAAGATGAGCTTAAAACCGTTCTTTTCAGTTTAAAATCTAATAAGTCGCCGGGTATTGACGGAATTTCAATCAATGAATTACGTAGGTCGTTCGAAGTCCTCAAAACTGTTTTACTATCAATTTTAGACGGTATCATTTATAGTGGAGTCATTCCCTTAAAATTGAAAACGGCAATCGTTATCCCGCTTTTCAAAGCTGGAGCGCGAAATAATATTGAAAATTATCGTCCGATTTCAATTTTACCTTGTATTGCTCAGCTGTTAGAAAAACACTTGCGCTTGGTCATGACACGCTTTTTGGATAAGCATCGTATTATGTCGCCCTCTCAGTACGGTTTCGTGCAAGGTCGTGGCACTCAAATGTTACTTGAAGATTTTTCTGATCTGCTGAACTCGTCGTTTGAGCGGAATCAAGTCGCGTGCGCGTTATTTCTAGACGTCAGTAAGGCATTCGATAGTGTATGTCACCGTCTGTTGCTAAATAAGCTGTCAATGGTGGGATTTCGCGGTTCCTTTTTATTGCTGTTACAAAATTTTCTTCAGGATAGGCGCCAATGTGTTTCGATTGAACAATTTCGAAGTAACTTCTCGATAATTAAAATCTGGTGTTCCGCAGGGTTCAGTACTTAGTCCTTTATTATTTAATATTTATGTGAATGATCTTTCTAGTACCGTGCCCACTTCAATATCTCAGTATGCGGACGATACTGTAATTGTAGCCGGCGCTTCTAAGTATTTGCACGCAATTTCTTTGCTGCAAAGTGCGGCAAATAGGGCAATGGACTGGTTTGATGCAAATTTAATTTCTATTAATACGACAAAAACTCAACTAATTTGTTTTCATAGCCCATTAAAACGAGTCAGTCTCACTTCTCCGCTTTTTTTGCACACGTCTAATTGTCTTAATTGCGCGTGTACCCCTGTGAACTACACATCTACAGTTAAATACCTTGGTTTGATTTTTGATAGCGATCTTGCCTGGAATTCACAGCTCGCTCATATCTGTAAGAAGCTTCGCGCGGTGTCTTGTTTGATGTACAGTGTTAGATACGTTATGCCATTATCCGTTCGTAAGGTTATCATTCATGCCCTGGTCTATAGTGTGCTTCGTTATGGAATAACTGTGTACGGCCACTGTGCCCTTCGATGGAAAATAAGAATCAATTCAATTTTGCGTTCTTTGTTAAAAGTTATTTCTTATGATTTAAGTCTTGATAAAGATACTGACGTATTTAGAGCATTATGCTTTCCGGATTTCGGCTCTCTGTTGATAGAAACTGTAGTTTTCCGTCATTTCTGGAATAGTTCTTTTAAAGTACCTTATGCCCCAGCCCGTTGCCTAAGGCCAAAAAAACGTTACTGTATACCTCGGTGCAGCACAAGATATGGCGAACGCATGCGCCGTTACTATGTTCCCTCGTATTTTAACAAGCTTCCTATGAGTATTTTTTGTGCTAGTACAAAATACAAACTGAAAAAAGCGCTCAGGAATAGAATTGTATAAAGATTTCTTTTCTGTGTGTGTCATAGCTTGATTTATCTATGTGGGGTTTTTGTGTTTTACTGTCATTGCTTTATTTTGTCACTGTCTGCCAGGCACTACCTTTCAAGCCCGATGAGGCTTCGGTAGGCCTGAATCTGTACATGCTATTTTTTCATTCAATAAAAGTATTATTATTATTAAAAAAAAAACAAAAAAACTACTGACAAAAGGAGTTTGCCTTTTAGGTCGAGGTTCCTTCGGGTACCCGGACCTTATTTATTTTGAATTTCAAAGATTTAGAAATCTAAGAAAATAAACTCCGATAAGCCCCGAAAAACACCTTGCGAATAGACGGTAAGAATAAACACCCTCCGAATTTCTCGAGAAAAAAAACTTCGAAAACACGGAATCCTACGGATATCCCTTTGTTTTGCTTGCATGTGAAAAGTACGCGAAACACATGCGCGTCAAAACTGTCCGATCTGACGTGCGAACTGCCTGAACGACGTTCGGAGGCGAGGGTTTTCGTAGTACCGGACAGCGTCGAAAACCCTTGCCCCCGAACGGTCGTTCCGGTAGTTCGCACGTCGGATCGGACTACCGTGCGAGCTCGTCTTCGAGCGGTTGCTTGATCTCGCTTTGCATCTGCCCTTTCTTTCTTTTTTTTTTTTTTTTCCTCCCTTTTTAGGGTGTCTAGCGACCGGGATTGGTCAGGGAAATTTTAATTTTTTTGGAAAAATCGGGGAATTGTCAGCGATGTTTTCAAAAAGCGAGCCCAGTCAGGGAAAATAAGCCGGAAACATACTCGAGTGCCCCGAGCAAAGACTTGAGGGCTTGGGGGCAGAAAAATAAGCAATAAATTCAGCTTAGACCTGAGCGCGGGCTCTGCTCACTTCATGTAGAGTGTGCTATCCAATGCAAAGGGAACAGCGGACAAATCCAGTTCAAGCCTTGGATTGCATTGGATTGGATTGAGTGCGCGACACTGGGCTAGATCCAGTTAGAGCTACTAAATTTAGTAAGAAATGGGAAAGCCGCAGACCCCAATCCAAGCCTTAAGCCGAAAGTATCCGAAAGTGCGCATCTGGCCGGTGTGGTTGAGCTTCGTGTTTTCATCGTGTTTCCGGAAGTGGCCTCTTCACTGACAATGTAGGCGTCCAGAAAGCGCTCGTTTAATCCGGACTGGACGAACCCGAATATTTCGGAATATGCAAGTTAGATTAAGCCTGTGCAAAATGATCCTCACAGTGTTCAGTGCTCAATGCCTTGTGTTGTAATTGTCTTATGTATTTAACCGCCTCTACAGTGGTCAGAGAATTTCACCTGAAATTGTCAAAGAAAACCTAAAAAAGTCGGGGAATTTAAAAAAAAAAAAAATTTCCTAGACACCCAGATTTTTTTTTTCCCCCTTCTCTTTTTTTGGTTTAGACTAGCAAAAACGGTTCGGATGTACCAGATACACGCATTTTCCGTCAGCAAATGCACAATCGGCTACATTTTTATGACAATATTGTAAGATTCATTTGGCTCATCTTGTCTCTAGACGCTTTAAACACGGGCCAGATTGAGCCGCCATTGCCAACCTTCTCTTGACTCACCGAGATACCAAGCCACCGAAGCGGGCGTTGACGAGCCTCCACAAAGGCATGCTGAGGAGAAGGACACAGTATAGCACCTAAAGTGGCAATAACCTGTCCTGCTGTGGGGATGGTGAAATAAAGCGAGGGGATCAGGGGAAAACAAAAACTGAAGTTCGGTTGTGGCGGCGCCCATGCACAGCTGCCTGAAGGCGTCTACTCTATACCAATAAGGTGAAATGAAAAGGAACTATACTGGGCACTCTGGGATGCTTAGCGCAACAAAGCAGAGGTTGCGTGCGGCCTGATAACCAAATTATACTTTGACGAATTTGCCTGCTTTCCTCGTCGCCTAAAAAAAAAAAAAAGATGTAAGATTTTAGTTGTTTCCACATTCGTTGTTGGGAAAATGCGTGTTGAACCGCGACGCCGACTGAAAACAAGGCAATACATTTTCATCACGTTTTAACAAGATGTTCAATGTTTGGGGGCAAGAGAGCCAGGGAGGGCGTCGAACTAATTAAAATAACTTTTGACGGGAGACGTCAAAATAATTGGGACAAAGGTTGTTGAAGACGGCTCGATTTTAAGAATATCCCATCTTCTGGAAATGGCGTCCCTGACCTCAGAATAACGCTTAGGATTATTTTCGCGGTGGATAGTTCCTGTACATATCGTCCGCGGACCGTACAGACTCCGTCTAAAAATGCGCTGACCATGTCTTTTCGCTCCAGGTGTGGGACCACTCGTGGAGGGTGGTTCCCGACGACCGCCCGTGCATGCGCCTCTGGTTTGACGGTTCCATGGGAAACCCAAACAAGAGAGTTGCGCTACTTTACGGATCTCACAGCGTCGACAGGAACGGGTTCCCTAGTGGTGCCGAGGCAGTCGCATCTTCATCGCTGCAGCTCTTCATTTTTGGTGCTATGTTGACAACACTCCTTTCATAAAGATCAACTTCGTGCCTTATCGAGCAACTTTTTTTTAATGACAAATTGCTGCATGGTTGTTCATTTCGTTTCTTCAAAGATTTTGGTGGATGTTGAAGATTATGTTTATGGTCGTCCGAAATTTTATGCATGCTACTTACACTCCATGTTTTTACAATAAAGTCCATCTAAGAAAAGGTGTCCGCCTTTTCGTATTCTTTGTCACGCCAGCATTTGGTCAAACGTTCAATCTTCGCTAAATCTTTAAACAGCGACAACTTTTATAAAAACCTTAGCTTCAAATTGGGCAGATACCTGCTCAACCCGCAAACTCAACCACTATTGGCGCCAAGCCAGTAGTTCCTGTGGCCACCTTGCTGAACGTTTGGTCAAGCGCTCAATCTGCTGCATGTCCCTTCCATTCGAGAAGGAGCGAGACCTTCCTTTCTGCAGGGAGTAACTCAGAGACCCGCTCCCGTGGGGAGAGGAGTGCAGAAGGGAGTGGGGAAAAAGGAACTGGGAACCGGTTTTCTTTCCGGAATGGAATTAATTGCCGCCAAAAGTGCATCATCGCGGCGCTCACCGTCTTTGTGCGTTTGTAATCGCGGACTGCACCAATCGGGCAAAATGTATGCGCCGTCATGTTATTTTCTGTGCGTGAAAGGTTCAGCCGGGGACAGCGAACACACGAAGAAAACGAGCGCCGCGACGATGTTCTTTCGATGCGGCTTCGTCGACTCCATCGGATCAGCGTTACGCTGCGGTCGAACTTGGAAGTGAAACGGAGTAGGGAAACCAGAACGGCAGCCATTCTTCCTCCAAGACCTCTTCCGTTCTTGAGCATCAGCAAAACGTTGGCTTTTAAGGAGTTATTTTGCGAATTCGTATTACTATTCGCCTCGAGATCGAACCGTGTCGCCACCGTGCGGCTGAAATTGGAAACGCGCGAAAGCGGGGATACCGCCGTGCGTCGTCTGCTACGGGCGCACGCTCAGAAGCCTGGATCTCGGTGACGCAAGCCCGTTTCAGGCTGAGCTTGACATTTCTTATTAAGTGTCTTATGTTTTTTGTTGCCGTTTCTTTTTGCTAAAGGTTGTGTTGGATCGTTTCCCATGCGTAGAAATTCAGCAAAGCGATTACTATTAAGTCGGAAACTTTCATAACCTTAGTGCGTTGGTTTGTATACAATCGCTGGTCCCACGTATTTTTGTTATCTCGCACAAACCGTGGCTTTCATAAAGCATTGAATGTTGAGTGGGCCTGTGGTTTGATTAGAAAATTAACCCGACTGATCGCTATCCCTTAATAGACTAATCAATCGATAATCCGTACGTTGATTTTTCGCCGGTCATATTGCGTGAAAGACGTTAAAACTACACATTTTTTTACTGGTTCTACTATGTCATAAATGGCATTATGCATTCCCGTTCTAAACTTCACGTTGTGAGTCCTACATAAATATGAACACGGGAAGCCTTTTAAAATGAAGTATTTTTTTAAGTTATTATTTAAACAGTATAATCACCCTCGGTGAAATGACAAGCACGCTGAAGTGGTTTACCGTGCAAGCCTGTGTCACAAAAGAAACAAAGACGTCAAAACTATCAAAGTAGGCATTTTTTACTCCTTGTTGACTTTCTCCAGCTCAAGAATCCAATTAACCGGCAAAAAATTGCAATTAAAGCATTACTTGAATAATCTGAACGTTAGTCGATGAACTGCCCAGTTCTGATATACGTTAGGTGTCGGCGGAGGGTGATCGGAAAGTCTCGTGAAGGTCGCTAGCCCTCATCAGTAAAAGAGTATCACTGCGGCCGATGCTGTATGTGTCGTGGTGTGCGTCGTTTGTTGGGGTTGCAGAGTCTACTGCGTTGGAATACAAGATTATTTAGCCAGAAATTTGTAGTATTAGCCTATTGACATTCGCGGCCTTCGCCAAGAAAATGGAAGCGGGTGAACCCACACTACCGAGAAAAGCATTTAATAACAAAAACATTGCTGCGTTGCTCAGTTACACTTGTTTATTACAGTAACGGCAGATATATTAGAACAGTTTGTTTCCCTTGTTTCAGTTGTCCTGCCAATCGTGAAGTTTGCAGATCTTAACTAGAAAAGACACACTCTCCGCATCGCAACGCAGTAGATTTGTTCAGACTCCAAAAAAAACTTACCCACACTATGGCAGAGTAAAACGGCAGAGAAACTCAATAGCATGATAATTTCCAATACAGCGCTCACTTATCTTCATTCTACATATTTATATTACTGCAAAAACTAAAACTAAAAAAAAAAACAAAAAAAAAAACATAGAAGCTGCGATTTCACAGCTTACAGTACCAGTATTATGTTATCTGGGTTGGAATTTATTGTTTTTTTTTAATTCCCATGTTGATGAACCGATACACCCATTTTAAAAGAAAAAATATTGAACATAACTATTCCAGTTCAGCCGGAGACAGGCATCAGTCGTGGTGATCCATGCTTTCCAACGTCTGCCTAGAGCAGACGACGCACCCACAGAAGCGATTATATAAATTTGGGTCGCACGCTGGCAACACGATTCGATCTTCCTTGAAGCACCGAACAGTACCGCATCCTTTTCCGCTAGAATTGTTTTTCCACCGACAGTATGCGACAAAATAAACGCAAGAATCTACGTCGTCTCGCGCGCGAACGTGGAGAGCCTATGGGGCGGCCGTTCTCCTATCCCCGCTTTGATGATGATGATAGCGCGACCGTAGCGCCACCTCTAGGTCGATCTCGAGGCCAATAGCTCTCCAACTGCCTTGAGTGTTACATGGTAAGTGAGCGGCTCCTACAGAACCATTTTGCGTGCACATCGCAGCCGACTGACACCAAGCACATCGCGTCAGTCGTAGTTTCTATAATCCGCATTCCCGAGCATCGCGCTGCACAAAACGTTCCGGCGCTCACTTTTACATTTAAATTAAAAAATTTTGTTTTTGTGTTTGGGGGAAAAAAGTTGCGATCATTTGATTTTTAGTAGGCCCACTCATCCGCCAGCGGATTTGGTAAAATGAGAAGCGAGAAAAATTTAACATTTATGTTTTATAAATCACTGACAATTATGGATGTCGCCCCGCAGTAGTCGCCGGACCGTCGTCCAACACAAGCTCTTCGTAGGCACGGATACGGGGGGGGGGGGGGGGGGGGGGGGGGGGTCGCTGGGTGTAGGTTGTTTATCCCGTTATTTTATAGGTGATTTGTAGAAGGCATCAAACCCCGGCACGGGAAATCAAACCGACTGCGAAAATTGGTCGACGATCAATGGGACTCATCCGGTGGAAATCCGTTAGCATTGGTTCTTTCTCACCCCCTTTACATTCGTTTAGGACCCCTTGCCCTTCGTTTATCACCGCTTTCCTGACGTTTATTACCCCTTCCGTTCCTTTATGACTCCTTCCGAATCGTTTATGGGTTCTTTCGAATCGTTTATGACACGTTTTCGATCTTTCTTTTTTTTTTTTTTTTTCACCCCCTTTATCACGAGAAGAAAGAAGCACACCCATCGCCGGAGCGGCAACTGAGCTGGGCCGCATTCCAAAGCAGCGCTTAATCGTCTCTGGCTCCGCGCCAGCTGTGCGACGCTCGTATTAGTCGGAGCGCTGCATGATGTCAGCACGCGTCATGCATGGCGCTGACAAATGGACGCCATGCATGGCGCTGACAAACGGACGCACGAACTGACACCGGCGGGTTTTTGTGAAAACAAGAGTTCTAATGATAACGCATTACAACATGGCGGAAGTAACCGTCGTTGCGACTTCCAGTGCTATAGTATACGATCGAAACCGAGCTTCGAGCCAGTCCTAAGGCTAGATTCGCGTGATAACGAAAAGGGAGCAACGGACGCAGATTAGTGGTCCGCCGATTTCTACAATCGGCAACTAGACTATATGCTTGGCTAGCGTCGGAATAATTGGCAGCCGCACGGCGTGGAATGCTTTGTCAGCGACGCCGGTGTCTGAATAGGCACGCTGAAGGATTAGAATCGTTCATTGTTCCCGTCGTGGCAGTTCGAGGACTGTCTTGATAATGCCTCTTGGAATTCTTTAGAGCATGAATTAACAAATCAGCCGTTCCGAGGTCACGGCGGTACAAGTGCCCTTTATCGAGCCTGCGACTGCCTTTTTCCCTGGGCGGTGAGACGCAAAAGATGCAACGTTAGCCACAGTTATTACTCGTACTCTACTATCATCGAATTTTAAGCAAATATTTCAGCACTAAGCACTAGGTACAAACTTTTTAGATAAATATAGGCAAGCGTTCCGTGCCCTACTGGTGTCTATAATCTGATCATAACAGCGCGTTTGCGAGACATTTTTATAGGGCAGTTTTACTGTATAGGGTGCACACCCACTGCATGCCGTTTTACTTCATTTTTGACGGTTTATAATTCTTTTTATGTGTTCTACAGTCGTAAAGTTAGCGTTAAAAGAAATAAATGTTTTTAACATATACTCTGATGTCTCGATGTTACGCTTATTCTTAGTTGTTATTTTACTTTTTTGACTTTTAATAAATCACAGTTACGGCTATATAGTTACAGTTTTCTAATATAAAATACAGATGGCGGCACGTGTTCAAGAATAGCCTGATTTGCATTTGTCCTCATGTGCCGCTTGGAACGCCGCGTGAAAGACAGAACTGGCGCCACGTCTGTGGGTGTCAGGCTCCTGGATGCCCGCAATGAGCGAGCCCGAGATATAAAAACAACAAGCGCGATGCTGCGAGTGGACCACAGCTGCTTTTGCGCGCGTTTCACTGCGCATTGGTATACCCAAATAAAATTGACGCCGTGAAAGAGATTCCGGCGGTTGCAATTCCACTATGTTTGCAAATTCAATTCTTTTTCTATCAGTTGCATGAGTTATTTTTGCGAACACACTATGGCTTGTCGGAATGGTGCGACTACATTTGATTTCATAACCGCCTCGGTGGCGTGTAGTATATATATATATATATATATATAAAAAGTGGCCCTGGCAAAGCGCTGACCTGCGGGTCCCCATTTGGCGGGTTTTCATCCCGTCCGAGGTGCCAGCAGTCTGACGGAGGTCTATTATTTCTGAGAAGGCGCCCAGGGGCCCTAAACTCGCCAAACACAACGTTGGGGCCGAAGTTCACCGAGCGCACCGATTGGACTATCACGACCCGATGACTTCGCGCTTATGTCGC